GGAGGCTTTTTCAGTTCATTCATGACAATTTGCTTTTGTATAATGTTATTATTATTAGCAGTATTATTTATTATATCCATATGTATATTTGTTTTATTAAAAACAAGCTTAGATTTGCCCACCTGTCTGGTTTTAGACCATATGGGGCACAGCATGTGTTTTAGGATATAACTCAGGTTTTTGAGCACATTTTGCTATTATTATTCATTTATTCGTTTGCTGGAAATTAAAACTGAATTTAGAAACAGTTTTTAAACGAATATTTGCGCTTAACAAACAAAAGTATTTATTTATAGACTAACTGATGTCTGTGCATAAAGGTTTCCCTATCCAGGAGCGAAAGTGAAAGTGATCCATTATCTCTCATTCTCACGCAGTAGATGCTCTGTTTAACAGTTTTCTGTTAAAAAGCTGTTAACTGTTAACTGTTTGCTTGTGAAATGCTCGTTTTTTCCACTTAGACATACTTTGCGTCCTGTAAATAGCGAATGCGCTCTTGGCGCGACGCAGCTGACTCTTAAAGGGAATGGGAGATGAGACTCTAATTGGTTTATTCTTAAAACACACCCATAACTCATTAAGAAAATAAACTCAACCCTTTTAGACCATGCGCCAAAGCGCAAGGCAGATTTCCCCTCCTTAAATGAGCAAAAACGCGTCCTGACACGCCCTGAAAGCATTTGTGCACTGCCTTTTGCGCTTTGCGCATGGACTGTCAAAATAGAGCTGTAAATTAGGTCTGTAAATTGAACACTAGTATCTTCAAAAAAGGGTAGAAAAATAGTATGACCATTTCATCTACCATGGCAATAATAACAAGTTATTAGAAATTAGTTATAATATTGATTATGCTTAAAAGATGTTACAAAAAATCTTCTGTCCTTGGGAAATATTTTCACAGGAGTGCTAATCATTTTGACGTCAACTGTCCATGTCTATAAAGATGGTAAAAGCTGTATGTTTCTGGAGTGTCCTTCTCTTAACAGTGTGCTGCGTGCTTTAGGGCCAGTAAACACATCTGACAGTGTGACTCATTGTATTCCCGGTGGATTCACAGAAAGATGCTTCCATCCCCAGCAGCACAGCCCCGACGTCCTCATATATCAGACTATTAACAAGGCCGGTCGTGAAGCGTCCACCCACTCGCTGCACCACTTACTCAAGCGCCGATGAATGTAAATGACATCTGCAAGGCTAAAGCATGACTGATCCCGGAAGACTCCCAGCAGATTGAGGCTTTAGATGATTGTAGTCGAGGTCGTATTTACCTGATGGTTGGCTGTTTCAGACACTTTGACGTCCAGAGATCCAGACAGAACGGCGTACCAGCTGGTGCCGATGTCACCCTGTCGATACACTGCAAGGCAAACAAACACAGTATATAAACACCGTTCTGCAAATCACAGAGGAACTTTGAATTCGGAAACAGTACTTTTTTTTAATTAACTTGACATGTGGTACTTATTGTCGGATTATAGGGCAGATTCAAGCTTTGGCACATATTCAAGGCAAAATGCTTAACAATAAGGGCTCTATTTTGATGGTCTATGTGTAAAGTGCAAATCGCAGGGCGCAAACGCATTCAGGGCATGTCAGAATTACACTTTTGCTAAAATAAGGATGGAAAAATCCGCTTTGCGCCGTGGCGCATGGTCTAACAGGGTTGAGCTTACTTTATTAATGAGTTTTAGATGTGTTTTAAAAATAAACCAACCAGAGTCTCATCTCCGATTCCCTTTAAGAGTCAGTTGCATCGCGTCATAGCACATTTGCTATTTACATGACGTAAAGTAAGTGTAAGTGGAAAAACTGAGCATTTTACTAGCAAGAAAACATTTAAACAGAGCATCTACAGCGCGAGAATGAGAGATAAATTATTACCTTTCACTTTTGCTCTCATGGATAGGGAAACCTTGTATGCACAGACATCAATTAGCCTATAAATAATTAATTTTGTTTGTTAAGCGCAAATATTTGTTTCAAAACCATTTCTAAATTCAGTTCTAATTTCCAGCAAAGAATAAATGAACAATAATAACGAAGTGTGGTCAAAAATACAAATTTTGAGTTACATCCAAATACACATGTTATGCCCCATATGGTCTAAGACCTGACAGGTGGACAAATCTAAGCTTGTTTTTAATAAAACACATATAAGTATGCATATAATAAATAATACTGCTAATAATAATAACATTATACAAATGCAAATTGTAATGAATGAACTAAGAAAGCCTCCCGAGATGAAGAAGAAGTCATGAAGGCAGTGGTTTTTATATTTATGTAGGATACAAAATAATATGTTTTGTAATATTTTAATACTTTATATTTATATCCAATATATATTCTTATTATATCCTATATATATATCCTTAATATTTTAATTCTTTTTCATATGTAAAGATATTTGTAGATATATATTAAGCAGTGTTTAAGCGAGGCGCACAACTAACGCACTCTGCGCTGGACGAAAAACTGGCTTTGTTCTGGTCTATTGAAAAATCTATTATAGTTTCTCAAAATAGCAACGCGCCAGCAATGCGCCCCAACACGCATCCCTTTTTAGACCAGAACGCCTATGGGCGTTAGCGTTAACGCCAGCGTTAGCGTCGAGGAGAGTTGAAATGAAGTCAACTTTATGGTAATGAGCTATGACGCGGTTCGGCGGCAAGCAATCAGAATGAAGACGTCCATCGCTTGATAGCAGTTCAGAGAACACAGACCTGTGAACTTTGGTTCCGACCACAGTTGTTCCCAAGGGTTTAAATATTGCGGTTGCCAGATTTCCAATTATTTACTATTCTTTCCTACAGGAACATACATTAAATAAGTTACGGGCGAGTTACTGATGTTCATTAATGTTATATAAATTTATCTTAAAAAAGCGTGAATCTCACGCGATGTGACAGTACAAAACAGTACTGCTGCTTCAGGATATTTCAGACATATGGACACATATTGGATAAATAGAGCAAAGCCACAATGCACGCAACTTGATCTTCCATTGTTGTATGAATTTGTTAAGAAGTGTGCAACATTTTCACGCTAGAAACATGTTTTATGCAGGAATGTAACTGATATGCTGCAACGGCTCCTTTAAATATGAGATCAATGTAGCGAATTTTGACGCTCTAGCCGCAGGAGCTGAAGGCAGAGAGCGTTGTCGCCAGGGCGGCCAGAGCGACCTTGGATGCTCTCGCCGCTTTCGTTGTGAACGTACGGTTAGACTTGCTTAAATAAACTATGTTTATTTGTAAATAATTTTTAAGGTCAATATTATTAACTTCTTTATGAATATCTTTTGATTGGCTACAGAACAAACTACTGTAAACTTGCTTAACATAATAACACTGTTAAGCCTTTTAAATTGCACTTTAAGCTGAATATCTTGCAACAAAACAAATATCATGTACTGTCAACAAGGTAAAGACAAAAAAATTAGTTCTTAGATAGCTATTAAAATATTATGCTTAAAAAGTGTTGAACTTTTTCTCTCCATTTTAAAAATAAATGTAATGTATACTGTGATGACAAAGCTGGGTTTTCAGCTACGTCAGTCTTCGGTGTCATATTTGATATTAAAACATTTATTATTATTTTTATTATCAAAATTACAACAAGGTAATAATCAAGTTTTGTTGAAATTGTGACATTTCTTTTTCTTTAAGCTTATTCAATAAATAGAAAAACATATGTAAAATAGAAACAAATATTAACATTATACATTTTTTTGTTAATTTTAATCACTCTAATGCATGCATGCAAAATAAAAGTATTAGTTTGTTTAAAAAATATTTTAAACAGTAGCATACACACAAAAATCATCACACACTTAAAAAAAGGTTCACTTTAGCTGCATAAAGACAAATTTCCCAACTAATCTTAAAAACAAAACAAAAAATGCCATCAAATCCAGCATCGAGATGATAAAATCACAACAATAAATGTGGTACTTACAGGTGATGCCTTTCTCTAGGTACTCATAAAAGCCACACATGCAGATCTGCTGCAGCAGGTTAGGATGAAACTTCTCGAAGGCCTTCACACCCTTCAGCCGAGCCAGAATGATGTCCACGTCTTCTCCCGAGCGTTCAGCTGGCCTAAAACCCACAGCGAGACAAAGACACGTTACAGTCTAGACACTACCAAACTGACCTACAAGACAATCAGGACATTGCAGAGATGCATGTGACCGTGAGACTGCTGAGGAAACAAACCCAGGACAAGCACAGTTGTGTCCCGTGTAGGATGAGGAATGTGTCTAAATGGGATCAGGGATTTAGTTTTTCGTTGTTTTTTGCAGGATTGTAATTTAGTTTGTGAAAGTAACAAAGATGTATTTAAACATGTCTCTGGCCAGGCCAAAATATCCCTCTCTTAATATAGATATACTAACCGGCCACTTTATAAGGTACACCTGTCTAACTGCTAACTTAACGCTAATTTCTATTCACATGGCAGCAACTCAATATGCATTTAGGCATGTAGAGCTTGTCAAGATGAATGCTGCAGTTCAAAAGGAGCATCAGAATGTGAAACAAAGGTGATTTAAGTGACTTTGAATTTGGCATGGTTGTTGGTGCCTACTTGGCTGCTACTGGTGGTGTAATGGTGTGGGGGATATTTCCTTGGCACACTTTGGGCCTATTAGTACCAACTGAGCATTGTGTCAAAACCACAGCCCACCTGAGTATTGTGGCTGACCATGTCCATCCCTTTATGACCACAGTGTACTCATCTTCTGATGACTTCCAGCAGGATAACGCGCCATGTCATTTAGCGTAAATCATCTCAGACTGGCTTCTTAAACATGACAATGAGTTCACTGTACTCAAATGGCCCACACAGTCACCAGCACTCAATCCAATAGAGCACCTTTGGAATGTGGTGGAACGGGAGATTCGCATCACGGATATGCAGCCGACAAATCTGCAGCAACTGCGTGGTGCTATCATGTCAATATGGAGCAAAATCTTTGAGGAATATTTCCAGTAATTTATTGAATCTATGCCACGAATGATTATTTCGGAAAGCAAAAGGGAGTCTAACCTGGTTCTAGTAAGGTGTACCTAATAAAGTGGCCGGTGAGTTTATTTATTTTTTTAATTCAAAGTCATGACTTGTTGATAATAAATGGCTTTGCTCAGTTAAATGTAATATTTTTGTTGAGATATTGTTTTGAAACACTGATTCAGCAATTATGTAAGACTCAGTCATTTTTTTAAAGAAATGTTTAAAGATGAAATTCGAGACAAAAATGTACAAAAATGTAGAGTGTTGGAAACAAAGGTGGAACTGATAAGCACTAATATATGGCGGGAAAACTGAACAAAGGACTGCAGAGTCATCATTTGTCAACTTCTTCAGATTGAAAGTGTAACGCTGCCAGTCCTACACCACCCAACCCTCTCCGGGCTGGGATCGAACTGGCAACCTTTCACATGGGAGTCGGTTGCTCTAACAAGGAGGCTAAAGACCATGGCCTCTAGCGTCTGTTGCTAAAGCACCGTTAGAGGTCAGAGGAGTGAGGTTTACCTGCACAGCACCTACTTGGCTGGCCTCCGTTACACTCACCCCCTAAACCTCACTCCCATCAGGGTCACAGCACTAATTTAACCCCACCGGTCCTACACCACCCAATGCTCTTCGGGCTGGGATCGAAGCGGCAACCTTTGTTGTGGTTTTCGGCTTTTCTCTTAATGAATCAAACTCATTCTGAAGGTTATGAATATCAGAAGAATATACTTTATTGGAATATTTTCCAACAAAGCCGAGACGCTTTGTTTGAAGCAGACCCATCTCAGTCTCTCCCCAGGACAAATCCCAAGTGTCTATGTTCTTCACAAAATTAATACTGATTTTCTCTCCCCACCTCTCTCATTGTAACTCTGACCGTTTTAGCATGTTTTCTGTTTACTGAGGGGTTTAGTATATCTTTAGGTGCTCATGTTATTCTGGGCCCTGTGCTCTACCATGCAAACACCTGTTTTCACACCAGAGTTCTCTCTCCATAGATTCAATCTTGTCCGAGTGTTTACATACACTGGCATGATGGTACATTAATGTCATCATATGTCACTCATTCTCCTGAAAACCTCTCACAATTATAACTTCATATGCTCCAAACAATAATGACCTTACACATTCTTCAACAGGACACCCATTCTACACACACCACCAATTGTCAACTTTCTTCTCAAAATACACCACCAGTTGTTTCCCTTTTTCCTCAAAATACATGTCTAAGCATCTCTAGGTGGTTATATAGGTAGACATCTTCATTGCATTATAAAGAATAAAATAATCTTCGTCACCTTCCGCATGGGAGTCGGTTGCTCTAACAAGGAGGCTAAAGACCATGGTCTCTAGCGTCTGTCGCTAGAGCACCTTTAGAGGTCAGAGGAGTGAGGTTTACCTGCACAGCACCTACTTGGCTGGCCTCCGTTACAACAGCTGCTCCTCTAGCCAATCAGTCAAAGGGGGAGTCGACATCAAGCGTATTATTTTTCAATACATCAGGTGGGATCCCATCCAGAACCAAAAAAATAGATAAATAAATAAATAAATCGCTAGGTAGGGGTAAGAAAAGCTAAGATGTAAACCTATGCCTAACTCTGCCAAAAATAATATCAATAACAAAAATAAATGAAGAGCCAGAAACTACCCATGAAAACACAATCTACAGGCTAAACTACTTAATAAACAACAAAAAAAGTGTCTATTTTCACACACGCACCAATGTCGTGACTATTTACAATAATCAAAGCAAGGACTTCGCAAGTAAGATGTCTGATTTGACAGGCAAAAAGTAAACCCCCAGATGTCCTACTATACCTCCAGCGAGACTCTGAAGTGTGATTGACATTTTACAGTCCCTGGAGGCAGTGGGAGAGGATTTGTGACAGGAATATAATGCAGCTCACTCAGTAGGTAACACCATAATGACAGCATGACAAATGTAAAAAGTCTGGATTGCTGTATATTCATACTACACACGTAACAACATTCTTTATTAGTGCTCTTATAGTGTGTGGCTGAACGTGCAATTAAAAGTTCATAATCGTCAAATGATTTGTTCAGTAGGAGGCCGCTTCATTTTTCTCTAATGGCGTATGAGAGATTGAGATACTACATAAAGATCAACATGGGCAGCACGGTGGCTCAGTGGTTAGCACTGTCGCCTCACAGCAAGAAGGTCACTAGTTAGGCCAGTTGGCATTTTTGTGTGGAGTTTGCATGTTCTCGTCATGCTGGTGTGGGTTTCCTCCGGGTGCACAGTCCAAAGAAATGCGCCATAGGTGAAATGGACAGTACTGGGTTGCGGCTGGAAGGGCATCAGCTCTGTACAACAAATGCAGGAATAGTTGGAGGTTCATTCCACTGTGGCGACCTCTGAAATAAAGACTAAGTAGAAGGAAAATGAATGAATGAATGAATTAAGATCCACTTCTAATTTTGCATAAACATACGCAAGCTCTCACTTCTCAGCTCATTAAGTGACATGTATATGTGTGTGTGTGTGTGTGTGTGTGTGTGTGTGTGTGTGCACTTGTGAATAAATTGCCTTTCTTAATGATGTCAGGTTGCTGTTGTAATTTAGATTCCTTTTATACAGAAATGCCCTGTTGCTATGGAGATTACAACATGGAGAAATTAAGACTTCAAAGATATTTTTCAAACTGAGGGCAGTGGCACAGACTTCATGCGAAACTAATCCTGCTAATGAGTTCCACAAAAGATTCCCAATGAACTACTCTGTACTGACCTTACAACTGCAACAAACATGAAAGAATTTCAGCAAGCCGATTATCTTTTACTGTATGTAGCACTTTTCTTTATATAATGTGAATAGTGTTGGGCAAAGCTACTTGAAAAATGTAGTGAGCTAAGCTATTAGCAACTCAACTTAAAATGAAGCTTAACTACACTAAAAGCTACCTCCTGGGAAATGTAGCAAGCTAAGCTAAAAGCTACATGGCAAAAGTAGCTCAGCTATATCTAAGTTATTTTTGTAATTTTTTCTTTTTCTTAATTAAAGTAACTTAAATTCCGGTCATGGCGTTTAAGGCTGTTTGCTGATTTCAGTCATCATACAGTCAACATCCTTTTTTTTCGACATCTATTTTCTCATCAATATATTATATATGTAAATATTTTGAACATCTTCTTGGTCATTTTTAATGCTTCCAAAAGGTTTGCTGCATCTATAAAGCATCCATGTGTTGATGCTGTATCATGCGATTTTCTTTATGTGCGAATTGATTGGACAGGAATCACAGGATTTTTTCTCCAATCCCCATGGACAAGAAAGAAATAAAGTCGTGACTCCAGGTTGAAGGAAAATAGTGGAGTAAAAGTACCAATACTGCACTAAACATGTACTCAAGGGAAAGTAAAAAAACACATTTATAAAACTACTTAGGAAAGTACAATTCCTGAGAAAAACTACTCAATTACTGTAATTTGCATATTTGTAATTACATGTAGTTAATTTACACCACAGTTAATTAGGCAAGTTATTGTATAATGATTGTTCTGTAGACAATCGAAAAACAATATTGCTTAAAAGGCTAATATTATTGACCTTAAAATAGTTTAACAAAAAATTAAAAATACTTTTATTCTTGATGAAATAAAACAAATTAGACTTTCTCCAGAAGAAAAAAATATGATAGGAAATACTGTGAAGATTTCCTTGCTGTAAAACGTTCCAAGTTTAGCAAATCTTTAAAAAAATATAGGAAAAAAAAAATTCACAGGCGACTAATAAATTTGACTTCAACTGTATACATAAAACCCAAAGACTCTATGCATTCAGTGCATCATTGAGAGAGAAATGAGCATAAATTACATGAACTATAGTTCTATAATTATGTCTTGTGCTGTCATCAGGCTGATCTTCTGTGATCTGGACCAGTCCGTGTGTGCTCTGAGGACGTGAGATGTTGAGAGTGCCTTTGACTTACTGTGCTGAGATTCACTGGAGTGGAAACACATTACCAGCTTATATCTGCTGGGCACAGAATGGACTCTGCATTACAGCGGCCGCCAGCACAAAGCCAAACCCCTCTCTCTCTCTCTCTCTCTCTCTCTCTCTCTTTTCATCTACGTTTCTTTTTTTTCTCATTCAGTTCCAGCTCATTGTGAAGCTTTCTTCAGCTCTCCAAAGAGTCTTTTTTGAAAAAAGCACTCTCCGTTTGTGCTCCAAAAATATTTAGGCTTCACATATAAGATTTATGTATCCTGATTGCATAAAAAATTGACATACATACTTTTATCATAATTTAACTAATAAAGTGATGGCACGGTGACTCAGTGGTTAGCACTGTCGCCTCACAGCAAGAAGTCCGCTGATTTGAGGCCTAGGTGGAGCAGTCGGCATTTCTGTGTGGAGTTTGCATGTTCTTCCTGTGTTTGTGTGGGATTCCTCCAGGTTTCCCACACAGTTCAAAGACATGTGGTGTAGGTGATAAACTAATTATTATTATTATTATTTTTAATTATTTTTAATATAATAAACTAATTATTATACTTAATATTATTATTATAGGTGATAAACACATTTTTATTATTATTATTAATATAGGTGATGAACTAATTATTATTATTATTATTAATAATATATTATTATTATTATAGGTGATAAACTTATTATTATTATTATTATTATTATTATTATTATATGTGATGAACTAATTATTATTACTATTATTATTATTACTATTATTATTATTATTATTAATATTATTATTATAGGTGATAAACTAATTATTATTAGTATTATTAATAATATATTATTATTATTATTAATAATATTGTCATTATTGTTATTATTATATGTAATAAACTAATTATTATTATTATTATTATTATTATTATTATTATTATTATTATTATTAATATAGGTTATAAACTAAATTGGCCATATTATATATGTGTGAATGAGAGTCTATGGGTGTTTCCCAATACTGGGTTTCAGCTGGAAGGGTATTCACTGCATAAAACATTTGCTGGAATAGTTGCTGGTTCATTCCACTGTGGCGACCCCTGATCAATCAGAGACTAAGCTAAAGGAAAAGGAATGAATGGATGAACTAATAAACTGTATGTTGTTTGATTACAAACACTGTAAGGAAAAGACAGAACCCGGAGCAAAGACTACAGGATTTCACCAGAAGGGCACCATAGCTGATGTGATGTGATGTGATGTCCTTTCTCCTGTCAAAATCAATTCATGCAGTGGTAGGGCTTCCCATAACAAACAAGTGGATCTGTACAGACTCCTACCCCAATAAACAGTATGGCTAAAGATTGATAATTGTATATTTTGACCAGTAAGCAGGATTTCCTTCATTGTGGTGGCCATACTGGGAATTGCACTTTCCCCATTCAGCGTAATGCGAGTCGACTGTGTTTATATATCTATAGCCTTTGTGCGAATGATCATTAATCAGTATCAATATGCTATAAAATGGACTTAAACTTAAAATTAAAAAAAACATTATTATATATTTCTAATATTAAGATAATTGCTAATCAATTTTTTTTCACTTTTTTTTAGGATTCATAGACGAATAGAAAAAAAAACTAAATAAAAATGAGATCCAAAATCAAAAAGTGCTGAGAGTTGCTTAAATAGCTTGTCGGTGCTCTTTGGGTAAGAGATTTATCAGAATCAAAGATTCATCAGTCAAAGGCACTTATAGCCTTTATTGACATGGCTATTCATTAAAACTAGTACAAAAAGGAATAGCCATGTCTATAAAGGCTTTTTAATATCCTTACACATTATTTAAATGCCCTGGAGTGACTTTTGCTATAAAAACAAGATCTTTTGAAACATTGTTATTTTTATCAAATTAATATTTCCTTTATAAAGGAATATATATATATATATATATATAAATATATATATATATATATAGCAGCAACCGGGTACATAACAAAGTAAATGTTATCTTAAATTTTAATGATAGTTCATAATGTTACAGTTTTTCTGATCAAATAAATACAGCCTTACTGGCCATAAAATACTTCTTTGAAAATAAAATCACAAAAAATCCCATCAATCCTGCACTGTAAAACCTAAAAAAGTCATTCAAACCATTTGAGAAAACTGATTGCAACAAAACCATTCAAGTTCAAAAACTATCCTTATGAGCACTGTGAACTTTAAATAAATGAATTTAATGAAGCAAATTTATTTTAAGTAAATGAAGCAATTTGAGCACAGTAAAACCCAATAAAACAAGGCAACTCAAACCGTTTGCGGAAACCGATTGCTACAAACCATTTGAGTTAAAAAAAAACTACTTAATATGAGTACTGTGAACTTACTGGATTTAGGTTGAAGTAATGAGGCAGTTAATTAACTCATTACCTTCAACACTGAGTTCAAAACTCTTTCCAAATGAGTAGAATTAACTTTCAGCCAATTTTGAGTTAACTACACTCATTTCATTTGATACAGCTGACTGCTGGACTTTACAGTGTGTGTGTGTGTGTGTTAACACTAGTGTTGTATATATTATAATTGTATAGAAATATTAAACGAACTCTGCAGCATCAGTACAGTGTACAGCGTCATTATTCTGGCAGGTGGCTTCATCATTTTGCACATATAAATATCAAAGAAACATAAAACAGAGTCAGTTTATCATCTCAGCAATGCTCAACCCTTTCACTATCAAGCACATAACAGAATACTCACTATAAAGCATCAAAATCCCCAACACACAGCTCTTCAATATGAAACTCTCAGTCTGAGATCAGCTGTTTCACAGTCAGTACAGACTATTCCCAACGCCACGATGTGCTGAAAGTGCCAGGACAGCACAAAGCAGCCGAGTATCATCCAACAGTGCAGTCTGCTTTTTTTCCTCTTTGTGTGTGTGTGTGTGTGTGTGTGTGGCTGCACCTTTATCGATCTCCACAATACCGGTGTCGGATGTAAATGAGACCATGGACAATTTTTAAGAAGCTTTGCATTGATCAGTATATAGACAATGTGCTCGAGTCCATTAAAACATCAGCCTCCGAAAAAACCCCATCATCACACCCAGTAAGGTGATCTCACTTTTCCCTCCCATCGCCATGGTAACCTGTCTGAGCTAGGAGGGGCTGCCTGAAGGTAAAGTGATATTTTATTAGCATGTTAAAATTGGGAGGCTTCCAGAAGTTCACTATTTATGCTGTGTATAAAATAAAAAAACTCTAAAAGCATTGGTTTATCATAAAGTATTACAGTTTAAATAGTCAGATTAACACAAAGAGAGTCAGATTTCGTTAAAAGACCATAAAATATTACACACAAAACCTTAATAGCTGATAAAAAAAATCAGTGTTTGGCTATATAAAAATGGAAAAACTCTAAACGCAATGTATTATTATTATTAATTACGTTTTAAATGATCACATTAACAGATTCAGATTTCAATAAATATTATATAAATATTATATTACACACAATACTACACACAAAATTGAATAGCTGATGAATGCAATCGAGTTATCATGAACAAGCATGCCATTCATTGTCCTGATTGCAGAAGGAGACATCATCTAGGCTAGGAAATACAGTTAAAATATAATAATTAGACTATAATAATGTCCAGTCAGTAAACATATTAATCTAAAAGCCTAACACACTAAGATGCAGGTGGTGCATTAGAAATTGACGCTTTTTAAACGCCTGTCACCTTGTTGCAGCCCCTCCGGACATTAATGTGACCGGGAGTCTCTCACCTCTTATCCAGGCAGATGATCCACTCGGCAGAGGCCACGGAGTGCGCAGAGGCGTGCACCGCTACCATCTTCGGCTAAAAGCGGTGTGCTGGATCGTGCGTCTCGGATCGCGGTTCTCGTCGACTTGGTCGCTTCATCAGCATCAGCAGCAGCAGGGCTCAACCCCCCTCCTCTCCCCGCCTCTGCGTGGATCGCCGCGGCGTGGACGCATCGTCACCACGTCCACACACGCACGACAGCAGACAGCGTGCAGTAACGCGTTTCTACACATGCACCGAGCGATGAAATCAAATCCCACTTGATGGAGAAATAGGGTAGTGTCAGCGGGAGATCTGCGGTGCTGAGGCTGCAGTGTCACCGCGGATGCTGCATCTCCACCGGGGAGCGCTGTCAGGAGTCCTGTCTTCCAGCGGGGGTTAAGAAGAGACACACACTGACAGAAATACACACAGGGAGCAGCCTGTACTGTACAAGAGAAACAGCATTTTCTACCTTCTTAATCTCTCTAAGCTCATTACATTTCAGTTATTACGTTTTTTTGGTTTTGCTATAATATTGTCTAATCTCAAATAATTTCATTCATTATTTGGTCCCACTTTATATTAAGTGTCCTTAACTACTATGTACTTACATAAAAAATAAATACAATGTACTTACTATGTTCATAATGTATTTGAGAACACTTGTGTTGCTCTTGAGTTGGGATAGAGGTTGGGTTATGGACAGGTTTGGTGGTATGGGTAGGTTTAAGGGTGGGTTAAGGTGTAGGGAATGGTCAGCAGTGTATTTAAAAATGTAATTACAGTTAGTTACAGATGCAATTACATACAGGTATTTAATCAAGCATAAGTACACAATAAATACATGTATTTACACAATAAGTACATTGTAACAAACTATTAATTCCTGTGTAAGTACATATTAGTGAAGGCCACTTAATATAAAGAGGGATCCATTATTTTTTGGTAATATTAACATAACTGCCTATAATTTCAAACTATTTCACTCATTAATTATTATTTTGCAATATTAATATCTAACCTCAAATAATTTCATTCATTGAGTATTTTTGTAATATTAATAGTCTGTAAATATCTGACCTCGAATAATTGCAATTATTAAGTATTTTCTTTATTTGTAATATTATTATAAAGATCTAACCTCAAATAAGTTCATTAAGTTTTTTTTGTAATATTAATATTTCTTTGTAACCTTAAATTATTCCATTCATTAAGTAATTTTTTTTTGTTTGTAATATCAATATAACCTTAAATAATTCCATTCACTAAGTATTTTTTGTGCAACATTAATATAACTAACATCAAATCATGACTAAGCTCAGTTATTTCATTCATTAAGTATTTTTATTTATTTATAGTATTAATTTAAATGCCTAACATCAAATAATTTCATTATTTAAGTTTTTCTTAGTAATATTAATATTACTGTCTAACCTCAAATTATTCCAATCATTAAGTGTTAAGCATTTGTTTACAATATTAACATAATTAACAAACAAAAAAAATGACTAAAAAACTTTCAATAATAATGTTATAGAATATTTACAATATTAAAGTATTTACTTAATAAAATAATAAATTTAATAATTAAAAGTAGTTTTTTCTCATGTAACCCAGCTTGGCTGATAAATTAATACATACATGCGTACAATATTAATATAACTAATCAAAGCTAAAGCAAATATATAATCGTTATAATTATTTAAATTCCTAAAATTGACAACCTTTTTGAAATTGACATTTTCTGTATTTAAACAAACAAAAAATCTAATAAAAAATAATAGTGTGACCATAAAGTCGTTGGTTAGTTCATTCATGTTGTCCTGTTACATTCATGTTTATTTTGTTTTGTAAAATAATAAAATGCAAATTACATTAAATAAATAAGAAAAATAAATTTGTGTAACCTCATGTGCACTGGTGGATTCAGTGTATACGACTGCTTGATTAAATAACATTTAAGTAAATTTTCAAAATATCTCAAATGAATTAAATAACATAGATTTGCAGTGGTGTATTAAAAAATAAATGCAAAATAAATATAATTTATCACATTATATTAGGGAGTAAAAAGGGAAGTGAGCAGTTTCTAACTTCTAATTTTAAATAGATTTCTTTGTGTGTAATTAGTATAAAACAACACTATAGTGCAATAATTCATATAAATAAATGAATAAATACATAATTCAAATGAATTAGACAATTACATAATATTTTAGGTTACTCAGCAAAACCTTTTTACAATGAAATGTAATAAATAAACAGTCTGAGATTAATAAAAATAATAAAAACTCTTTATTTTCTTTAATGACCACCAAAGTAAAATAGCACAGATTCAGTGTTCAAATTATAATCGACAGCTTTGAAAACTCTTTTAAAAATCAGCACTAAGTGCATAATACATCTCATGGCACAAAATATATTACATGTTTACAGTATAGCACATTTAAACATTAATTACAAGACACAAAAACATTCCTGTCTGACAAAAAAAAAGTGAAAAGACGCTGTGAGTTTGCATCGAAGCCTCATTTTGTGCTAAAAAATAAGCAACCCTACGATCATACAGTAAATTGCATCTTCTGAAAGCTTCTCGAAGGAGTTTTTTACATCACGGCTGAATGAGATGAACAGCTTTGATTATGTACAGCAGTCTATTTACTACACAGAATGCCTGACATCTCTCTATATACACACAACAGCCGCACAATATGGCTTTCATGACTGTACTGCCATTTTAAAAGACAGATACTGTACCAAATAGGCTTTGGCATCAGGTATTGTAGTTGATTTGGCATCAGGTACTGTTGTTAAAGAAGCTGTTACAGGCAGTGTTGGGTAAAGAAAAAGTCATATACTACAATCTTAGAGCCAGGACACACCAAGCCGATGGTTGACCATTGGGCTTTGTTGGTCCGTCGGTCAGGCTAGGTTTCTCTTCGAAGTTTGGGCAACACTTTATTTTGATGGTCCGTTTAAGTATTAGTAGACTGTCTGCTTAATATCTGTTGATACTGCTACTTCAACAGACTGAAAGAAACTTTGCAAATATACGTCAACTAACACTACCCCCAAACTAACAGTCTACTTATAGACCATTTTGAGGCATGTAAACAAAAACAATGGTCCCAAAGCATTTCCTGTTTTACATTTTTTTTATTTCTATAGCTTCCAACAATCAAAGTTATTATTGAATTGCCTCTTGTTACAGTTATGAAATAGTTTGATAAGCAGGAAATGTTCATGGGCCAGTGACACGACCACGGTTTATAATCTAATAAAAAATTTGTTGGCATGTGGATGCAATGTAACTTAAATTGAGCAAATGAACCATCAAAATAAAGTGACTGAAGTTTGTTTTCCTGATTCAGCATGTAAAATCAACAGCGTTCCGACTGGTTATTCCAGCCTGATCTCACGAGGAAATGTAAGTATTTTACGTTTTGTCAGTTTAGTGGCTAATTCGTATGAGTTCAGTCGATTTTAAAAAGGAGGCGTGGCACCAAACCTCACCCCTAACCCCAACCGTCATTGGGTGATAAGCATACCGTAATTAATTTGTACGAATTAAATCATACGAATTCATATGAATTAGTCACTAAATTAAAAAGTTACAAATTGTTGTTAACTGTCAAGTAAACAATTAAAGTCAAGAAGGAGCGCAAAGAGGCCGGCTGTAATTTCGCAACACTTCACAAATATTTGCATGGATTGTTATATTATCAGACATATTTGCAAGAGCGAATCCCTTTGTGGTGAGTGAAAATAACTGTGATAACGGTGCTGAATGATGCTTGTTTATGCTTTGCATCAGAAGTTCCGGTTTCCCGATTTGTAAGAGAAAACAGACCACTCTCGTTTCCAACCCAGGCTCATTCTGAAAACGTCCCCTTGTATACATTTCTGGAGAGCGCCAAATACGTCCCAGGAGCTACGTTTTTTTTTTTTTTTGTTGCAGTTTTTGTTTTCGCAAATCCACCAGAGGCCGCTGTGTATGATTTTTCAGATCTTAAATTTCTCTCACGAGTGCCATTCGTGCCTGCTGTTCTGACTGTCTGTTTAACTGACCCACCCACACCCTTAACCTAAACCCAACCGATAGTGTTTTCAAAAGCACTGATTAACCAGCGGCCACCCATTTCCCTAAACCCAACCAACAGTGCATTCAATCCTGAAAATTTTACCACGTTTTCAGATTTTACCACATTCTGACACTGTTATTACTTGTTGATTTTCTGTTTTGGCTTTTGGTTTTGTCTTACCTGTTTTCTGGAACCGTTCTTCACCTAACTCGAACTCCGTCGTCACTGTCAACTTCGTTTCACGTCACAAGTCCGCTGACATACATGGCAAGCACTGGACAAACTGGTAACAGCAGTAAAGCCGTCCACATGGAGGTAAGCAATCAGCTGGTGAGCGCAAAAAGGGAACGGCGTCATACCTCCCCATAGTGTTTGTTTTAACGCCAAAAAGCAGTCATACGTACCTCTGGCTACATGCTGTAATTCCCGATCACCAGAAATGTATATAGCGCAACGTTTTCAAAATGAGCCAATGTTGCTTGTTTCAGTCGGCTGCCATCAGCTTGCCGTGTCGCGGCCTTTAAGCCTTAATTCTTAATCGTAAAAACAAACCAAATAAATAAAAATGGAACAAAAAAAAACAATCCAGGCTCATTGGGAATATGTACCCAGGGCTATGAACTGTGAAATATGTGGCTATGTCTGGTTGCAACTACAAAGTTCCTCTGGTGCAAAAGCCCCTTCCATTCATCACTTCATTTTCCTTCGGCTTAGTCTCCGATTTATGAGAGGTCACCACAGCGGAATACATCACCATCTATTCCAGCATATGTTTCCCTTCTGTCACATGCCAAGATTGCACTCAGCACCCCCTTTTCTAAAAATCGCCTGATCCATACAAGATTAAGACGAGACACTTTAAAGTCTGAATCCACTGTTATCCAGCTAGCTTATGCTGCATTATTGCTGAAGTACTTAAGTTGCATACATTTTAATCAATTTAACCAAAATATGCAACCCATACTGTAAAACTGTTTTTATTAAACAACTCAAATGTACCCTATGCATGGAAAACACCCAATTATATACTTATTACCAAGCCAGTGTGTTCATAAACAGTACATCTTTCATCTTTAAACACATTCCTTAAATCGAATCCCTTCCTGCTATTGAGTTTTCAGGCAGCGTGTGGCTTTCAAGATACAGGAGTGGAAGTGTTTGTGTTGGGTTTCATCCTGTAGACGAAGTGAAAGGGCTGTCGGTTTGGTCGACTGTGTAACTCTGCTTTTATCCACTGCGGGTGTGTGTCTGCGGCCAACTGCTGACTGCTTTCGTCCGTCAGGAGAAACAGGCCGTAGTTTTCAGGGTCCGACACGCGGAATTTAAGTGCGCAGAGACGACACACTTCTTCTGTTGTGGCGTAAGGCCGAACCTGGAGGGTTTTAGCCGTGCAGCCGCTGTCGGCCTTCTGCAGAGCCACGCGCATGTAGTTCTTCACACAAACACACAAAATAGTAGGTTTATTACCAATGAATACAATATTTTTGATTCAAATATGGATAAAATGTATTAGTAGGCTTGTCAAAAGTACTGATGTCAGTACAAATTAGTATTGACTTAAAAAAAAAACATCAATTTTCCACTAACATTTAAGCTCTGTTGAGTGGATTCTTAAACACTGCAGAACATCACATGCTCTACATACAGAATGAGATTGGCCATATGATCATCGCTTCATCTCTCTTCAGCAAGTGCTTATACAAATACACAGACACTGCAGAGCCCTAGCCAGTCTGGTGAAAGGGGTGGTTCTTTTTTTCTCAAAAAGTAGGCCTTTTTGCAGTCATTCGTCTCATTTTCTATTGAATAACAAGGTTTAAATACTGCATGTTAGCACTATTTTTGTGCTTAAAATAGCACTAAAGCTTGTCGGATGCTCATCATAACCACACTTTTTGATGTACCAAAAGCATTTCTTAAAGATTTAGAATATAAAAATATGAAAACAATACTTCATTATTTTTTAAATACAATAATAAGAATCTGTTAACGTTTTAAATTTATTAGGCAAATAACAAAACTGACCAACACATTCAACTTTTCTTAGTATGAAAAAAATGCCATCCCAAATTCAGCATCCCAAATTCTATATTGACAGCCAACACAGGATTCCACTTGGTCTTAAAGCCTTTTTCAGTGGGTTATTTTCACAATTTATTATGGAATCACAGTCAAAATAGGACAAATAAGCTCATGTTTGGGACAAATTCTGGACATTTTTCAGTGAGGGGTGGGTCTTTCGGATCACCTGAACGCCCTCTGGCTATGGGACTGCACTAAAGCATTTAAAAGCCGTGTCTATCAGCTGATCCATCAGCAGATTGCTAGCTTTTAAATGCTTCATGGCTTCTGTGTAAGACCTTGGTGAAGAGCGGTGAAGCAAGGATCACTGGAGCCAATCACATATAGTTGAAGTCCTCCTGAATTATTAGTCCACCTGTCTATTTTTCCCCAATTTCAAACATAATAGTTTTAATAACTGTTTTCTTTTATCTTTGCCATGATGGCTGAACATATTTGGCTAGATATTTTTCAAGATACTAGTCTTCAGCTTAAAGTGACATTTAAAGGTGTAACTATGTTAAGGTAATTAGGCAAGTCATTGTATAACTATGGTTTGTTTTGTAGGCAATCTATAGTTCACAAGAGAATTCACTAATAATTCTGACTTCAACTGTATGTGATTGGCTCCAATGATCATCGCTTAATCCCTCTTCAGCAAGTGCTTATACAGATGCACAGACAGTGGAGCACTTGAAAGCCGTGTCTATAAGCTGATCCATTTCTATGCCTATCAGCTGATACATCCTCTGATAGACATAGCTTTAAAACGCTTCATCTTTTCAGCGTAAGCACTTGGTGAAAAGCAGTGAAGGGATGATCACTGGAGCCAATCATGTATATCTGTTGAGCGAATGGAAACTAAAGCCAACCAGAAGTGTTGATTAACCACATTCAAATTTGAGCGGGAAATGTTTTTTAAAGTTTCAGCACCGTCTGGGGCCGAAGTCAGTACAGTACACTGCCAAAAATTGTTGCTGCCTTATTTAAATCAATCAAATTAACTTTTCTAGCCATCTCAACTTGCATAAATCATACTGACTAAACATTAAGTTAAGCTTTGTATAACTTTAAAAATGCAGTTGAAATAGGATTAATTTATGTAAAGATTTACAAACATAAACTCTAAAATTAAAAAGGATTCATAAGAAAGCTCATCAAAATGGTCTAGGACAATTTTCATATCATTTCCAAAAATAGTTTTTACCTGGAAGTCGTCCACCGACGGCAGGTTTCTCTGTAGTGTGCGTCGCTGGTGCCACTGGTGGAGAGTGTCGCTTGTTGCTGAACTGAGTATTCGAGCCGCCTGCTCTTCCTGGAAGTTCTTAATAAGTGACATCGCTCCATACGCACTGGTAAGGTAATAACCTCCTGCACGTGAGGAAAAACAAAATACAATTATTATTCTTACATAATTTAAAATCACAGTGAATGCAAATCACTGTTTAATGGGATAAAGTAGTGTTAAAGGTCTTTGTGAAATATTTTTAAATTCAGCAAAATAACATGCTCCATCACATGCTTTTTCTACCACCTTCTCTATGATAAGGCCTTTATGTAACAACCACTTCATTATTTATGACATAAAATACCTCATCATACACCCAGCGCAATAAGGCGCAAGACGTGTTTGGCATGATTTGTTGCTATTTTCAGACCAGTGAAACTGTAATTTTTACATTTTGCGCCATGTTGTTGAAATAGCAAATCCATTTGTGCCACTTTGTGGACTCATGGGTGTGCTTGTCTAAACTAGAGGTGTTAAGATTATTGGTGGGCCGTTATCAGCGTTAATGTGCTGTGTTAACGCGACACTCTTATTGGGCTATAAATAAAATCTTGATAATCTATTCTGGGTCTATTCTACGCAAGCTATGATGACTTTCACCTTGATATTTTAGTGCAGATGTACCAAATTGCACTATAGGGAGCGAGAACGAGTCTTCAAACCTGTGTGTATTCCTACTGTGAAATTACCACATCAATAGTGATGTGCTAACATGGATGCAGTTCACTACAGTGAATTTAATTAATGTTAGTTCCACATCTAACTATCAGGCACCTGCAGAGTTTTTTTAAGTAAAACATATACAAATAAAATGGAGCGGGTGCTTTTTAAAATGAATGACAGTGAATAAAAGTCAAACCCGTGAGCGTCTGACAAAAAAGTGCCCTTCTGAATCAAATCAGCAGGATGCCCTTCTGGATCTTTCACTAATTTTAAAGACACTACGCTTACATGGACATCTGTAGTCTAGATATTTGCCTTAATAGACATTAATATAATTAAGGTGTTTACGTGTAGTGCTTTCATGTAAGAGTTTCCTGTAATTTTGGGTGACTTTAGGTTTTAGAGACTTATGCATCACCGTATGGGGCAAAAGAATATGGTGTGTGTTTGGATATAACCCACACTTCATTATTGTTGTTCAATTATTCATTTCCTGGAAATTTAGAATAAATTTAAAAATAATTTTAAAACGATTCTTTGTGCTTAACAAATTAAATTAAATATGTGGGCTGATGGATGTCTTCAGTAGAGTGCATACAACAACGTTTTCTTATCCAGAAAAGTAAAGGAGAAAAGTAAAGAGTAGTAGTAAAGAGAAAGTAAAGAGACCGAATGGAGGAGGCTTGTTCTTTATCCTGGCTGCAGATGGTCTGTTTCACCGTTTTCTCGCTATTGAAGCGTTCAGTTTTTTCACTTACAAATTCCACCATGTAAAAAGCAAATGAACCATGGCGCGACACAACTGACCCTTACAGGGAATGGCAGATCAGACTCAGATTGTTCACATTATGCTCAAAACACACCCATAACTCATTAAGAGAATAAGCACAACCCTGTTAGACCATGCACCGGGGCGCAAAGTGTGGTTTTCTGTCATTAAAATAGCAAAAGTGCATACAGATACACCCTTAATGATTTTGCGCCATGTGCTTTAGACTTTTCCCCTAAATTGTTAAAATAGAGCCCAAAGACCTTTTCATCCTGAGGTTGATTAAATATCTGTAAAAATCAGTTGTTTTTTTTCAGATTAGTGTGGCCATTTTGTACCCTTGCCACGGATAAAAAAAAGATGTACAAAGATGGAATGACACAACAAATGTAATTATAGTAAAATTACTGTATTTTAATTATAATTAATGTACAAAATTCCTAAATTTGATTCTGTAGCTAATTGTTGTTTAAATTATTGTTAAAGTTCACGTGAAGCTTATAGGTTCAGATCAAAGTTCCATAATGCAAATTACAACCATAAATAAACCGAAAACACAAAACACGTTAAAGCTGTTAATTAACAGATATTGTTTACAGTGTAAACAATATTCAAACATTATATTTGAATTGACCAAGTAGAGTATCGATACGAGCGACACGGTGGCACAGTGGTTAGCACCGTTGCCTCACAACAAGAAGGTCTATGGTTCGAGCGCCGACTGGACCAGTTGGCATTTCTGTGTGGAGTTTGCATGTTCTTCCCGTGTTAGTGTGGGTTTTCTCCGGGTTCCCCCCTCAATCTAAAGACATGCGCTATAAGTGAATTGAGTGAGCTAAAATTGTTCATAGTGTATGTGTGTGTGTCCTGGTCCTCCAGGTTGGGGGTTGAGGGTTGGGCCAATGACCCACCTCATAAAAACTAGATGTTACGAAAAACCAACATGGTGCCACTAAATATCAACATTATAATGGGAGTAAGAATAAGTAAGAGTATCAATACATCAGTTTACAAAATAGCCTTTTATTTAGTTTGAATGCTGGACAAGTATATTTCCAAACAGATCTGACCAAAGGGAAAAGAAAAAAACATGAATTATTCAAGACCTGGTTGAAAGGAGATTTTGAAACTGATATAAGCAGGAACTGTCTCTATAACGAGGACAGAACATGCTGTCTGTCCCATTAGGTCATCAGGTGAGAGATCTGACTGTACGCATACAGCACAATACATCTTTTCCATGAATGACTGCAGCACTGAGAACAGGAGACTCACACACTGGAGGAAATTACTCTGCTGGGAACATAACTTAGGAAGTGCTTCACAAATGGAAAAAGCTGCTCTGTTTGGAATCTCCTCCTGTTTGCACAAGTATTTACTTGAATACATTGTGTTTTGATTTATTAATTTACCAAGGAGCCGAACTGACATGAATGTTGAGCATGAAAAACCAGTTATGCTTTGGTTTGGTTTATCATTCATTCATTTATTCATTCATTCATTCATTCATTCTCCTTTGGCTTAGTCCCTTATTTATCAGGGGTCGCCACAGTGAAATGAACCGCCAACTATTCCAGCATATGTTTTGCGCAGCGGATGCCTTTCCATCTGCAACCTTGTACTGGGAAACACCCATACACTCTCACATTCACACGCACACTCATACACTATGGACAGTTTAGCTTATCCAATTCACCTATAGCGCACGTCTTTGGATTGTAGGGGAAACCAGAGCACCCAGAGAAAACCCACACGAACACAACGAGAACATGCAAACTCCACACAGAAATGTCAACTGGCCCAGTTGGGACTCGAACCAGCGACCTTCTTGCTGTGAGGCAACCACTGAGCCACCGTGCCGCCCTTTTGGTTTATCAAATAATCTAAAACAAATAACTGACCTTCTCCATGAAGTAAAGGCGGATCTATCAGCTCCATCATATACAGGATCTCGGTGTCCAACTGAGGCATGTCACACTGGACCAACACATACGTCAACATGGGCAGGAAATCATCTGCTCCAAACATCCGCACTGGCGCAGACGGAGGAAATATTGATTAGTGACCTTTACACAAGCCATTCCAGCAAGTACCTTCCACTTGATTAACCCTTAAGCATGCTTCGAATCGCAGCACTTAAAGAGACAGTGCACCAAAATATGTCATTTCTGTCATCATTTACTCACCTTTTACTTACTTTTACCTATACCAGTTTCTTTCTTCTGTTGAGCACAAAATAAGATATTTTGAAAAATGTTGGAAACCTGTAACTATTTGCTTCCATATTTGTTTTTCCTACTGTGGAAGTCGATGGTTACAGGCTTTCAGGTTTCTTCAAAACATCTTATTTTGTTCAACCGAAGAAATAAGCTCATAAAGCTTTGAAACCCCACAAGTGTGAGTAAATAGTGATTACATTTTCATTTTTAGGTGAACTATCCTTTAATTAACCCAGGTGGACACTTTTGAGCATGAAGGTCTCAAGTGTGATCCCATTTTTACACAAATGTCACATCACTGTGCTTTGATCAAATAAAATTTATCAAGTTATGTATTTTATTCAGATTTTTAATGGTTTTTTTTTCCATTTATATATTTAATGCTTTTATTATTTCACTATTTATTTCCTATAGGTTCAACTTATGGATGACTTAACTTTGTAGAATCAAGTCCTCTATTTGGTTGTCTTAAGTTGCAAACTTATTAAAAGTAGCCAAGTCTTGAACCACTCAGATATAAGAAACTATTTAAAACACTATAGCATAGGTCCCCCTCAAAAAATAAAAAAAATAAAATAAAAATAAAATAAATAAATAAATAATAATAATAATAATAATAATAATAATAATAATAATAATAATAATAATAATAATAATAATAAATAAATAAAAATAAAACAAACAAAAATTAGACAGAGTTATAAATAATTAACAGTATTATTGCAAGTATACAATTATCATTCTAAATAAATAACAGAAATTAATTCTAAATGTAACTGGAAAATAATATAAAGACAAAACTTGAGTAATTTTAATATTATTTACATTTTTTTTACTTAATTTAACTTTTGCATGAATATTAATTCCATTAGAATGAAATTCTATAGACAATTCTATATAATACAAAAAAGATGTTTTATTGATTTATATACTCTTCCTTGTCTTAAACCCGACTCATGGCCGAGAATTAGGTTTATTAAGTATTAACGATTTTATTATGGGATTACCACTCTCAACAAATAAATTTGCGTATGAAGTAAATCATATCCAAGCACATGCCCTAAGAAATAAGGTCTAGTGATGCCCCTGGAAACCTGTATCCATTGACTTTCACAGTATTTGTTTTTCCTACTATGGAAGTAGATGGTTACTTCAAAATATCTTCTTTTGTGTTCAAGAGAAGAAAGGAACTCATAAAGCTTTGAAACTTACACAAGGGTGAGTAAATAGTAATTACATTTATATTTTGGGGTGAACTATTCCTTTTATTAACCTGTGTGGACACTTTTGAGCACAAAGGTCTCAAGTGTGATCCCATTTTTATTTAGAAATATGTTGTAGACCTGTGACTTTCATAGCATTTGTTTTTCCTACTATGGAAGTCAATGGTTACCGGTTTTCAGTGTCTTCATTAGACCTTTTTTTGTTGTGTTCAACAGAAGAATGAAACTCATTAAGGGTTCACTCAAGGGTGAGTAAATGTTCATTTTAGGGTGAACTATCCCTTTAAATTTAAGAACCAAGTCCAAGAATCAAGGCATTTTTTGTAAGTGTGTTCAGAAGTCTTGAATTGCTCAGATTGAATTGTTTTTAAATAATATAAATAAATGATTTTGCCCAGAAATGTTGGATTCTAAAGGGTTAAACCGTAAGTGCTTCAACCTATTCAAACACAGAACACCTTAAACATAAACACACGTAAAAGCCACAGAACAAGAACAAAACTCCACCCGCGCACACACCTTCATGCTCTTGCATAATGCTGTAGATGAGTTTGCAGACTTTAAGCAGCACCATGATCTTCCTCTCTGGCGAGTACATGCTGCACATGGCTCGGAGTTTTCTGCGGATGCGCTGGATGGCGTGTGTGTCTGGTGCTTGTGCTCCGTTCACTCCCAGCTCATTGGGTCGTTTGGTTTTGGCAATAGCCAGATTCTCCTGCAGCGTCTGCCAGACTCCAGCGGCCGCCTGGAACTCATGCAGCGCTGAGTGTAAACAGCCGTACAGTGGTTTCAACACACACTTGTGCATGGCCTTCTCCAACACTGGATCTGAGAGAAAAAATAAAACACAAAAGACTCATTTAAAGTGATAGTTCACTCAAAAACAAAAGAATTGTCATCATTTACTTCTCACTTGTTCCAAAACATTTGTGTTTTTTTTTTGTTGAGTACAAGGAAAATGCAATATAGCATTATCCACTACCTGCAAAAAACTTGTATTTTTCACTTATTTCTTCTGACGGTGAAAACTTAACAATATTTTAACTTGGTCTAAGAATTTTTTTTGATAGTTGGACTAGAAAAGAGACAAAACAAAATAAAAGAAGCTTTTTTTTTTTGCATTTTTAAAATTCAATTTCTCTACCTGAATACTGTTAGAGTTCTATCATACACACGTTATTTTTTCAAATATCTTACTTTAATTATATACAACTACTTAGCTCACATGAAAAGGACTGTCATATTTCCGAGTTCCTCTAAAGACTTGCCCTCAAATGGCTCTGATTGGTCAGCTAACATAATGTGCTGTGATTTGCAGATCAGCTTCATATCACTTGAAAGCGTCTCTGTTATAACATTATAGTGCCTCTGGCCACGCCCCCTCGATGCGTGGGGTGTATGTGCGTAACACCTTATGACATCATTAACCCAGATGTATTTTTTTTATAGTCCCCAAACTTCGTTTGCTGTAGGCTTTGCTAAGCTAACTCTGTAAAAACCATTAGCTGCGTCTCAAATGACACTATGCACTCATGCACTATGTACTTATGCATAGTATACACTCAACAGCATAGTATATGTATGTAGTGTCATCCCAAATGGCACACTAATGTTTTTTTACTAAGTGGAAATTCAAACCGTTTCCCTGATGACGTTTGACGGTTGCCAAATCAGTGAAATAAATGACCAAACTATCAAATAATACCTGCCATGAGTATAACGACATTCACCATCAGTAGGCGCTATAATCACTCTCATAGAGAGTGATTTCATAGAGACCAGTTTTGCTTCCACAATCCAAAATAAATAAAGTTATCCAACATGTGTGCCCGATAGCTCCGCCCCTTCCGCTACGTGAGCAAAACTGCAGTCGTTAAGTGTCCATCATTACACACTTCATTTTAGCAAAAGTGCACTTATTATTTTTAGAGTTTTCAATGTGAACACACTACTTGCACTATTTACACAACAAAATGGCGTGGAATAGTGCATCAGTATGTGATTTGGGACGCAGCTATTGTCTCCCTTTGCATTAAACTTTAAGCATATTACATTCAGAGATATTGTTTATGTTCACACAGCTATATTACACATCACCTAAAGTTTAAAATATGATATCATAGTGGACCACCCCTTTAATAGTGCACAGCTAGGTCATACCTTTGCCGGTGTAAAATTTTGTGTCCTCAAGAATCAACACACACACACACTATATTTATGGAGACGCCCCACTGACGTAATGAGTTAAATCCTTTACAAACTGTATATTCTATCCCACTATCCCAACCAAACCAAAGTAAATACACACATATTACTACATCAACAAAAAAAATATGCTATTCTTGTCCAAAAGAATACTCACAGAAATGAAAACAGATATTTAAAACAATAGCCAAGATGTAAACTGTATCCTTCTGTGATAAACTAAGAGGAAATGTTGTCTATTTGTGTCACACTATCAACAACCTTTTAACCTGCGTTTTCCACAGCAGCCTAAGGAAATATACCAACAGCTCTGTAAGGACAAGCAATGCTCACATTCAAAACAAAACAAAGCAGGCATGTTTCTAGTGTCAGGGATGTGCTGCATAACAATAGAAGAGTCACATTTTAAAACACCACTTCTTTCTGGACTGTTTAGCTGTGTGTGTGTTTTTTTATGCATTGCTTTTTCAGGCAAGTCAAAGGAATCTAAGAAATCAAAGTAATTCAATTAAACTCTGACTCTGCAAACTGCACAGGTTAGAAATAAAAAAGTCAAGTTAAGGATATATATATATATATATACATGAATAACAAGAAAGCTAATATTTCTAAATGCATCAAATAAGAGTTTCCAGAGACTAGAAACATATAAAGGAAAATCTATCACTAAGACAAAATCTTTTTGAAAACTAAACCTTTGTATTCCTATGTATTCACCACTAAAGGGTGTATATTACCGCCTTAAAAATACATAAATACCTAAAGTCTACATTTTAGTATCTAAATGGTATTTCAGTGCTTTTTGTTTGCCTTTTTTCTGAAACTGCATTGTTAGGCATAGTTGACTCTACAAGTAGCACAAAGGTTATTTCTGCTCACGGAGAGCCACATAGCAAGTTTAGCTTTAATTAAAAACACTGTTAATCAGCTACTTTAGGTCTTTGAGATCATTAGATATTTCCAGGAAGGTGTGTAAGAGCTATATTTTGCACAGAAGTTGCCTTCAAGAGCAGGATTATAGGAGCTCTTGAAGTAAAACCATTCATAGGCTAATCTCACAAAGAATCACCCTCTATTTTTGAGCATTTCATGACCCTAAAGCTCCATTTACTGTTTTGAAGATTGAAAAAGCACCTCATACACACAGACTACCATTTTATTGCATATCAGTAAAATATTCCGGCCACAATATACAGACTAAAATGCATTATGTGACATTCATGCTCACTGGGTATTAGGGTTGTCACGATACTGGAATTTGGTACCAATCGATACTGGAATTTTAAAAACGTCAATTTTCCGCTAACATTTGAGCTGGGAGTTCGGGAAACTGATGTTCTTATTGGCCAATCACAGTCATTTCTGTTGAGCACGTACACACAATGGCAAATTAGCGGTTTTAAGAATGTGCTCAGCAGTGCTCAAATGTTAGCGGGAAATTTAAGTTTTTTAAAATTTCAGTATCGATTCATATCAAATTCCAGTATTGTAACAAGGTATGCGCATATTTTGCCGAACTTAATATTTGTAGTGTACTGCTTATGTAAAGGTCATATAAGAGGAGCTTGATAAATCAAGAGAGCAATTGTGAATAGCCACACCTATGTTTTAAAAAGTTTACGTTTTAGTCGTACATATTAAAACAGATCAACAGGATTACTAAACTAAACTAAACTAAACTAAACTAAACTAAACAAAACTAAATTAAATTAAACTAAACTAAACTAAACTAAACTAAACTAAACTAATTTCCCTTCTTAGACTTTACAGACCTGAAACTTGCCTTTAGTACTTATTCATTGTTGCTCTTAGTTGTGTAAATTGCTTCCTTGCCCTCATTTGTAAGTCGCTTTGGATAAAAGCGTCTGCTAAATGACTAAATGTAAATGTAAATGTAAACTAAACTAAACCAACCAACCAACCAAACCAAACCGAACTGAACTCAATAGAACTAAACTAAACTAAACTAAACTAAATGAAACTAAACCAAACCAAACTAAACCAAAACCAAACCAAACCAAGCTAAATTAAATGAAATTAAACTACACTACACAAAAATAAACCAAATCACACCACACAAAATGAAATTAAACTACACTACACTAAACCAAACCAAACCCCAACACACAAAATGAAATTAAACTAAATTAAATTAAACTACACCACACTACACAACACTACACTACACTACACTAAACTAAACCAAACTACATCACACGAAACAAAATTAAACAAAATTAAACTAAACTAAACCAAATCGCATCACACCTCATCACGACACGCCAAACGAAACAACTAAACTAAATTCCATGTGAAATGTCAGCTGGACTAATAATAACATCTAATGAACTCTTGTAGCAGCATGTTCGCAGCTGTGGTGAACTGAGAGATGCAAACACATATTTATTCATGAGACAATCTTCAAACAATACACTCCACAATAACATTCTAAAATATTGCATTTCTACTATAGTTTCAAACAAGGCAAATAAACCAACTACGTACCCTGTACTCACTATTTATTATTTATTAGTTTCTTTCTATCATACCATGAAGGTCAGTGGTTACAGGTTTTCAGCATTCTTCAAAATATCTACTTTTGTGTTCATCAGAAGAAAGAAGCAAAGGGTTTGAAACAACTAAACTAAATAAAACTAAGCTAAGCTAAACTAAACTAAACCAAAGCACACAAAACTAAACTAAACCAGACCAAACCACACAAAACTAAACTAAAGCAAACTAATCTAAACTAAACGAGACAAAACCACACGAAACTAAACTAAACTAATTCACATCACACCCCGCCATGCCATACCCTGCCAAATGAAACGAAACTAAACTAAACTAAATCAAATCACACCCCACCACACTACACCAAACAAAACTAAATGAAACTAAATGAAACTAAACTAAACTAAATCAAATCACACCACACTACACCACACCAAACGAAATGAAACTAAATGAAATTAAACTAAAGTAAACTTAACCAAACCACACAAAACTAAACTAAGCTAGAACAGCATCTTTAGTATTTTCAAAACGTTCCATAATCGCAAGTCGAAGATGCCAGATAAGTCTGGACACCAGGCACAACCTTAACAAAGCATATGCATTTTAAAACTAAAACATGTCAGTGTAAACAGCACCTAAAAAGACTTCAAAAGACTCACCAATCTGGTCCTCAGGCATGTAAGACTCTATAGGCGGGTTCATCTCTGAGCTCTGCTTGAGGTAAGCCTTCATCTGGGTCATAAACTGCCTGATGGTCTGCAGAAGATCTTGACTAGACGAATGGCAGTTTTTATTCTCCTGTACAAAGCTCACATAATCCTGCACTAGGCACCCGAAGTAGGAGCCTTTGTCTTGGGACAGCTCGATGATCTGGAGCAAGATGCGTTTTTCAGGAGTAGCCAGTACATTAAGCACACCGCGGACTTTTCGGAAGTGTCTTAATGCACGCGGGAGGACAAGTGATCTCGGACGAGTCCCGACAAGTTCGACTGCCAGCAGTTTCTTTGACTTGCGGGATGCGCGAAGGCGAAGTTGAAGATCCCGTTCAAGTCCCACACCATAGTCTTCCTCTTCTTCATCGTAATCATCAGTACTGTCGTCGGTGGAGAGGCCCTGGGACACATGGCCTAAAGGGAGCGGATGCGGAGGAGAATCCAGAGAGTCGGAAGAGGAAGTGGACAAACTTTGGCCGCTTGAGCTTCGCCCTTTCTCTTCTTGTCCAGTCCACTGCTGCAGGATGCTGCTGCTGCTTGGGTTTAATAGAGTCGTATGGCTTTGATTGGCTTGAGATATGGCTCTAGAGATGGTATCATCATCTAATGCAATAGTGCAACGGTAGCTGTCGATGTCTGGAGGCTCTGGAGGTCTCGGTGCAGGTTTTTTGGAGCTAGGGTGTTTGGATCCTGTGGAACCAGTGACAGATTTGGGTCTTTGACTCATTCTGGAAGCACGTAAAGGCATATTCCTAGAAATTTGAGGTACAACAGGCCCACAAATTAAAATGCGAGGAGGAGGAGGCCTAGGTGGAGGAGCTGGATGAGATTTCCTGTTTCCTGCTGCCAAATCGTCAGTGATCACAGTTGCTGCATTTTGACTGAGATCTTGCTGTGTCTTGAGGAAAGTTGGGTTTATAAAAGACAGGGCACTACTACTTTCACCTTTGGAGGCATTAGGGCTGTTGTCGGTCAATGGAGGGATTAGATTCCCAGTTGGGCTGCAAGTTTGATCCTCTCCCGGTAATACATCAGAGCAGGTGCCCTCTATACAGATCGATGTCCTGCCCTGAACTAGAAGACTGCCAGGGGCAGAAAATGTCCTGTGTTGTTGGTTTAAAGAACATTCCCAGAATCCTAGAGAAACATGGAGAGAATCTGATTAATGGTTAACACGCACACACACAATCTTTGAACACACACAACCACAAAAGCAGCAAACACACCCGCTCCGGATTCCTACCATCGACCACCACTTGTCGTCAGCACTCATGCAAGTTTGAGAGTGTGTGGCTATATTTAGTTACAGCCAGGTTGAATGAAGAGTCAGTTCGCTTCTGTCGCCCTCAGTCCTACTGAATTTAGCTAACTCAGACGAGCATTTCAGAAAGCTGATTCAGAAATCCCATACAAACACACCCAACACAAAGTCGGCCAAAACCTCAGTGAGTCATTTTTATCCAAACAGACGGAGTGTATGGAGAGGTAGACGTCACAGAGCACACCAAACTCCTCCTCTATCTCCTCCCCAATGGTTCTGTCTTTCACTCCACCCATTTCAGTATGGTTTCTCCTTATGTTGTTGTTTTTTTGATGAGCTTCTGGAGTGATTTCACAAACAGCCTCTTCGAATAAAACTTCTCCTTTTTCTCATATTACAAAATCAAACTTTAGCAAAATCAAGAATGTTTTGAATGGTTTCCAGGATGTCGTAATACAGTTGCTAAGGCATTCTCAAGGTTTTATTTAGCTCACTGCTTTGTAACTATCTCTTGCTATGAAATGAAACTGTTTAGGAACTAAAGAAGTCTTGTGTTTGTTTTCTGTGAAGGTGATATCGCTTCTGTCTGGGTCTGAATTTTACACACTCTTTCCCTGAGTAACCTGTGCTCTGATTGGCTCACACAGTCTCACACACCATGTGGAATGTCAGCTGGACTAATAATAACATCCAATGGACTCTTATAGCAGCATGTTCGCAGCTGTGGTGAACTGAGAGATGCAAACACATATTTATTCATGAGACAATCTTTAAACAATACACCCAAAATCACATAGTATGGACTTTTTAATAACTTTCTAAAATATTGCATTTCTACTATAGTTTCCAAAAAGGCAAATGAACCAACTACTTACTCTTGTACTCACTATTTAATATTTATCTATAATATTATGAAGGTCAATGGTTACAGGTTTTCAGTATTCTTCAAAATATCTACTTTTGTGTTCATCAGAAGAAAGAAGCAAAGGGGTTGAAACAATTAAAGGGCGTGTAAATGATGACAGAAGCTGATAGGTGACCTGTTTTATTATCCTAATAGCAATTATTTGATTTTGTTTAACTGTGATGAACTAAATGCAGCATATTTGACAGTCATTCATTTTTATGGTACATTTATCTAGATAGTTGTTCAAAAACACACTTGGATTTAAAATCATGACCCCTGTATGTGAACAGCCGCTGTAATTGAATGGTTTTTTGACATTCCCTCCTTACCTATTTGTTTATTTTTAATCCAGTTAAATACAAATAAACCACAGATAAATGTGCTGATTTTTAAAAAATAATTCCATAAATTACCTACTTACTTTATTGTTTCCTTCAACCATAGATCATTTCATATAAATATCAACATTTGTAAGATTTAGGGCTCTATTTAACAATCTACACTGCAAAAAATGCTTTTCTTACTTAGATTTTTTGTCTTGTTTCTAGTGCAATTATCTAAAAAATCTTAAATCAGGAAGAATTTTCTAGGTAAGCAAAACAATGTCTTGTTTTAAGAAATAATATGCCAAAATGAAATGAATTTTTCCTTAAAACAAGCCAAATAATCTGCTAATGGGGTAAACAAAATTATCTTATTTCAAAAGGAAAAAACAAGATTATTTTGTATATGCCATTGGCAGATTATTTTGCTTGTATTAAGGAAAAACTAGCTAAATACTCGCATATTATTTCTTAAAACAAGACATTATGTTTTGCTTACCTAAAACATGCTACTTGATATAAGAAGTTTTAGATATTTGGACTGAAACAAGACAAAAATCTAAGTAAGAAAAGCAATTTCTGCTGTGTAGGCACAAGGTCTAAAGCGCAGGGCGCAAAAGCCTTAAGGGTGTGTGGGAATCCACTTTTGCTATTTTAAGGATGGAAAAATACGCTCTGCGCTGCAGCGCATGGTCTAACAGGGTTGTGCTTATTCTCTTTATGAGTTATAGGTGTGTTTTGAGAATAAACCAATCAGAGTCTCATCTCTCATTCCCTTTAAAAGTCGCATAGCACCATGGCACATTTGCTATTTACATGACTGACTTTGTAAGTGTAAAAACTGAACGCTTCACTAGCAAGAAATCAGTTAAACAAACCATCTGCAGCGTGAGGATAAAGAATGAGCCTTCTCCATTCGGCATTTACTATTCGGCATTTACCGATTTTCTCTTTCATGGATAAGGAAAATGTGTTGTATGCACTCCACTAAAGACATCCATTAGCTTACATAATTAATTTTGTTTGTTAAGCGCAAAGATTTATTTCAACACTATTTCTAAATTTATTTCTAATTTCCAGCTAACGAATAAATGAACAATAATAACAAAGTGAGCTCAAACAACTAAGTTATATTCAAACACACTTCCTAAAGCCTAAAACCTGACAGGCTTGTTTAAAAAAAAACAAATATAAATATGCATATAATAAATAGACTCATAATAATAATAACATTATACAAAAGCAAACTGTCATAAATAAACTAAATAACTAATAAAAAAGCCCCTTGAGATAAAGAAGGCATGGAGGCAGTGGTTTTTATATTTATGTATAATTTTTAAAAAAATATATTTTATTCCTTTAATTCTTTTTCATTTGTAAAGATATTTATCTATTGCTGTACATTCTGCATATCTTAAGCAATGTGTATGAGTGCTCAACTAACACGCTCTGCGCTGGACTTTAGACCTACTTTCAGCTGGTCTATTGAACAGTCTATTTAAGTTCCTCAAAACATCAACGGCCAAACAATGCGCCTTAACACACCTCTTTTTTAGATCTGAACACCCATAAGTCCACAGAGTGGCGCAAATAGATTGGCTATGTAAAAAACACGGTGGAAAATGGGAAAATTACTGTTGCGCTGGTTTGAAAATAGGGGGCAAACACATGTTGCGGCTTATTGCGCCAGGTGTATGATAGGGCCCTACGTGAGCTGAAACAGTTTTGAGGTTAACTGATCTATGCCTTTGGAAAACATTTTGTATAATGAAAATCAAATTTTGTCTTTATTTGTTCATGAGAAATTTGTGAAGATTTTTTTTTTATAGATTTAAAATGATATATTTTTTATTTGGAAGTAAACAGATCAAATCAGTCACTTGGGTTAAGGTGGATCTCATGAACTTTAATTTCATTTATTCATTTTCTTTTGACTTAGTCCCTGATCTATCAGGGGTCGCAACAGTGGAATGAACCACTAACTACTCAAGTAATGGGAGCAACAACCTGGTAATGGGAAGAACTTTAAATTAATTTAATTGAAAAAAAAAAAGTATTTATGAATTATCATAACTATTGGAGTTTTTATTCAGTATTTGCTTGTATTAGTTGTCAATTTTAGCTTCTCAATGAAATCTATAGGTTTTAACAGCCATTAAATATGGGCAATTAAACATGAAAATATTCATATGTCACTATATAAGCATTATATAATGTTAGTTATATTTTGCTGCTTGTTAATGTTTGCTAATGCAAAATTGAATACAACATTATTAGCCTGTGAAATGTTCACTCTTTTTTTCATATATTTCTCAAGTGCTGTTTAATAGAGATACTTTTTCAAACGCATTTTAAACAATAATTTTAATAACTAATTTCTAAAAATACATAATACATAAAACTTAGACTAAATTAACTACAGAACATAAAATCCAAACTATATGAACTAGGTTAATCAGGCAAGTTCAGTTAATTAGGCAAGTCATTGAACAACACTGGTTTGTTCTGTAGCCAATTGGGAACAAAAATGAAGGTGGTAATAATATTGGCATTAAAAATTATTCGTTTAAAAAATGATTTTAATCCAACCAGACGAAACGAAAGTAGTTGCTAATCTTTAATTGGGAAATATTTGAAAAATCTGTCAAATTTTACAGGAAGGCTATTAATTTAGTCTTCACCTGTATATAGCAATAGAAGCAAACACAAACACTAAACGAGACACTGGTAATTGAATGTGGGTCAGTACCTGCCCCTTGCTTGGCCACTTCATGCAGATCAGACAGGGTTTCCGCAGAGTAAATGGCCTCAGGAAGCTTCAGTGTAGAGGGCAAAATGTCTCTAATAGGAAACAAAGACAGACAGACAAACAAATGAAATGGAAGAGGGTATAAACAAGCAATGGATGAAGCTGAGAGAAAGAATGTGCACGCACAAAATGATTCTGTCTTTTCATCAATAAAAGGTCAAATTATACATCCAAATCACAACAGCAAATGTAATCATATAAAATAACTAAATTTTTATATAAAATGTAATTATGTAATTATATAAAATAAATTATTCTGCTCTTAATAAGTGGACAATTATTATTGATTAAAGAGAAAGCAGACTATTTGGATTCTACGAGTGGCAATGATCTTTGAATGACATCATTTTAATAGTTTGTACATATGGCCATTCATGACAATATTTTGTTTGCTGTAATAAGGTGATGGATTATTAAAGCATTTATCACTGTAAACAATTGCATGAATAAAAGCTTTCATGTTGTCGCAACACAACTTGATTAGGTTAATTTAACTTTATTCTGTTTACAAATGTATGTGTATTGAAACTAGTCTCTTTATTGCATTCTATAGTCTTTGATTAAACATAAAACAATTAAGTTGCACATGAAAAATCTTAAAAATTGTGTTGTTTAAGCTCACTTTGAATAAGTAGTTTTAACAAGCAGAAAAAAATAATAAATGTGGAGTGTGGGTTCATCACTGCACACTTATCAAATTTGCAAGTACCTATACTTCCTTTTATGGTCAATAATCTTTTAGCATTACACTTTTTTTTACACTTTTTTAGCAATAATCTTTTTAGCATTACCAGAGTAAGGATGGTACTGTAAGAGTGCAGTGAAACAATAAATAATTTCATTTTATTTAGTTACATGTAGCCAGGAGTATACACTGTAAAAAGCGATTAATTAAATCAATTTGAAAAGTGACTAAACATGTTGCCTTAAAAGGGAAAAGTTGACTTTACTTAAAAAAGTAAGTTTAACTTGTAATTGTTAAGTTGACTTAACTTCATTCTTATAACTAAGCATATGATTCATTTACTTAATAATTTGTATAACTTTTTAAAGCAAAGTCAACTAATCACTTTTTACAGTGTAAGCAAATGCTTAGGGTTATGTTTTTTCCTTATTCATAACTGTATATTAGCCATAGAAAACGTGATGGTGGCTTGATTGGCCTTATGATGTCCAGTCAAGTAATTAGTAATCATTCACTGTAAAATTGTTACCTGCTTATACAATAAAAGGCCACAAGACGAAAGAGGTCAGCAAAACTGATGTTTGAGCCCTCCAGAGAAAATGCTAAACAAAAAAAGAGAGAAAAATACACATGAATTAAAGATATTTATAATATAATATGATATAATATAATTCATACAATACAATATAATAATTAATATAATATAATATAATATAATATAATATAATATAATATAACATAATATAATATAATATAATATAATATAATATAATAATTAATATAATATAATATAGAATAATATAATATAATATAATAATTAATATAATATAATATAATATAATATAATATAATATAATATAATATAATATAATATAATATAATATAATATAATATAATAATAAACAGGAGAAATTTGAGGAAAAATGTCCTGAAATACAAGATCTAAATAATGTCTTTGGTATTAATGCCAATGTCTTTAAGTGTGAAAACCAAAACATAAGCAGAATAATTTACTGCGGTCCATTGATTTATTAGAAAATAATGCACACCCGCATCATGGCCACATAACCACTTTGGTTGAGCATTATTGTCTATTAATTCAATGACCCATCATCAATAATATAATATAATATAATATAATATAATATAATATAATATAATATAATATAATATAATATAATATAATATAGGGGGCGGCAAGGTGGCTCAGTGGTTAGCACTGTCGCCTCACATTAGAAAGGTTGCTGGTCCCTGGGCCAGTTGGCATTTCTGTGTAAAGTTTGTACTCTTTAAATGTTAGTGTGCGTTTCCTTTGGGTGCTCCAGTTTACAAACACGCACAGTTCAAACATGCGCCATAGGTGAATTGGGTAAACAAAATTGCCCCTATGAGTGTATGTATGTGAATGAGTGTGTATGGGTGTTTGCCAGTACTGGATTGCAGTTGGAAGACATATGCTGGAATAGTTGATGATTCATTTTGTTGTGGCGACCCTTGATAAATAAGGGACTGAACGTAAGGAAAATAAATATATAATAAAATATAATATAATATAATATAATATAATATAATATAATAAAATATAATATAATATAATATAATATAATATAATATAACATAATATAATAAAATATAACATAATAAATTTAATATAATATAATATAATAAAATAATACAATATAATAAAATATAATATAATATAATAAAAAAAGAATAAAAAACAATATAATATAATATAATATAATACATTTTATATAACATAATATTATATAATATAATAAAGTATAACATAATAAATTTAATATAATATAATATAATAAAAATAATACAATATAATAAAATATACTGTAATATAATAAAAAAGAATAAAAAACAATAAAATATAATATAATATAATAAAATATAACATAATAAATTTAATATAATATAATATAATATAATAAAAATAATACAATATAATAAAATATAATATAATATAACAAAAAAGAATAAAAAACAATATAATATAATATAATATAATATAATATAATATAATATAGAATAATATAATATAATATAATATAATATAATATAATATAATATAATATAATATAATATAATATAATATAATATAATAGCACTAAAACCAAACAAAAAAGTGTCACTTTATAGAAAATTTTAGGGAAATTTCTGCACTGATTCTGAACTTGGCAGCTAAAATGCTCAAAAGCCCTTGGCGTCTTTCAGACCACATCCAATTCCAAAACACAGAAGGATATTCACAGCTGGGTTGCATCCAGGCCAAAAGCACCAGGGTGTGTCTTCAAATTCACATGGAGAATTTCTTGGAACCACACTGCTGTAAATGCCTGAAATGCTGCCAGGCTACTATTGTCACATTCAGCCACAAATATGGTGCCTTTGTTCTGAAGCGAGCCAGTAGCAAACACGCACTGCAATTATAACAGATTACCTCTCGAACAAGCAGGGAAAATCTACATTCTGACACAAAACAGATTTATAAACCGATACATAAATACAATACAACACTGATACAGAGTGCTCGTGTGTGAAGTCATTGCTGAGCAATCTTTGACCTCTCAGTCGTTTGCACGTGCAAGCAACAAGCCTCCCAGTGTCAACAAACCATAAACAGATAAATCCACTATAACAGATCATAAATGAAAGAAGAAACCCTCACACATCATTTACGACTGAAATTACTGAAGAGATAGTGAAAAGAGGAAGACGTGATTAGAAGTCACAAAGGGTCAACATCAGTTATGATTTAGTGTGACATAATAGACCCGACATACTGTACTGGCTCTCCTTTACAGGGACGTGGAGCACACAAGCGTCTGATGCATCCCTCATCTGAAAAGACAACATCTTCTTTTGCAGGACAGATGACTTCCACACCAAAAACACCTGGACGGGAGGACAGAACTTTGTTTTATTTCTAGTTTTATTAATTTTACTGATTAATTAAAGGCAAATCGCAAAACCTGCTACAGTATGTCCAACAGGTTGTCATTGCGTTGACCCAAAATGTTGAAGCAAACAAAATAAAGAAGCAAGTTAAAGAGATAGTTCACCTAAAACTGGAATCATTTACTCACCCTCATCTTGTAAACCAGTAACCATTGACTTCCATGGAATTAGTTTTTTTTTCCTAAAATGGATGTCAATGGTTAGCGGTTTCCCTCAAAATGTCTTAGTTTGTTTTTAAACAGAGTAAAGAAACTCATAAAGGATTTGGAAGCATTTTGAGAGTAAATAGTGGCTAAATGTTCATTTTTGGGCGGAGTATCCCTTTATAATTGTGTATATATATATAAAAAAATCAAACACTGAGGGCCCTATCATACACCCGGTGCAATGCAGCACAAGGCGCGACGCAATTGTTGTTTGCTAAATCTAAACAACTACATTCTCACCTTAAAAAGCCTCAAAAGTACATTATGTTGTCCAACAGCTGCAATATTAGTCAAACTGTAGTGAGTTTATTGATCTGTTGTCACTCTATGTGAGCGGAGTGATACATAGGAGTGAAGAGGCAGTATGAGCTCTGATATTGCAGAATATTACACTGCTATCAGCCAATGAGATTCAAGAACATAACTGTTACACACACACGTTTGTTTTTGTGAAAAGTGGGGACATTACATAGGTTTCCATTCATTTTATACTGTCCAAACCGTATATTATATTGCCCGCACCCCACCCCTAAACCCAACCATCACAGGAGACTGTGTGCAGCTTTACTCTCTGATTAAACTCATTCTGTAGGATTTATAAGCATTTTGAGAAATGAGGACGTCACCAATGTCCTCATATTTCACCTCCTTTTTGCAATACTTGTGTCATACCTATGTCATTATACAGATTTGTGTCCTGATATGTCACAAAAACACGTACACACACACAAAGTCAGAATTATTAGCCCCCCTGTTTATTTTTTTCCCCAATTTCTGTTTAATAGAGAGCAGTTTTTAAAACACATTTCTAAACATAATAGTTTTAATAAGTCATTTCTAATAACTGATTTATCTTATCTTGGCCATGATGACAGTAAATAATATTTTACTAGATATTTTTCAAGACACTTTTATACAGCTTAATGTGACATCTAAAGGCTTAACTAGGTTAACTAGGCAGGTTAGGGTAATTACGCAAGTTACTGTATAACAATGGTTTGTTCTGTAGACTATCGATAATACAATTAGCTTAAAGGGGCCTTAAATGTTTTTTTAAAAATGAAAAACTGCTTTTATTCTAGTCGTAATAAAACAAATAAGACTTTCTCCAGAAGAAAAAATATCATCATGAAAAATTTCTAGCTCTGTTAAATATCATTTGGGAAATATTTAAAAAAGAAAAATAAATAATAGGAAAAATATAATAGGAAGCTTTACAACAATATATGTGTGCAAATACACTGAATTAGTCAGTCCCAAAGCCAAAACTAGAACTAATCTAAAAAAAAAAAAATTTAAGATCACAGTCCAAAAATTGGTGCAAATAAGTAAATATGGGAAAATGTTAAATATAATATGAATATAACTGTTTCATACAAATATTTAGTTAAAATACACCAAAAAATATTGGCTATATTCACTGAGAAATGAATAATAATGTTAATTTTCAAAAGAGGGTGTACTCTATGAGGGAGCACTGCATGTAAAACAACCAGCTTGACATCTCCTTAAGTGTTTTTCTCATAAAACTAAGATGTGTTGGTAACAGCATGACGGTGAATTTCCCTTTTTTTTTATCTGCCTGGTGTTTTAGCGTTTCCTCTAACATCTTTTACCCCAGCTGGCTGCTGCAGAAGGATGCCAGTGGCCTCTTGCTGGTCGATGGAAAGCAGAAGCCAGATGGGGTGTGTGTGTATCAGTTTGTCCAACACACTCACACCGCTGCTTGCACAAGCACCATCGACTTCAGGATACTGCAGACACTCTCCTTCTATCCTACAGAGAGTAAAACACACATGAATATAGTGGGCTGACTGTCATAAGAGACTTATTTCATGTGATTTAAAGGGGATGTATTATGTAAAAATTACGTTTATATGTGGTGTTACGACCCCAAAATGTCTAGGGCTGAAGTCGAACATAAAAATGAAAGAGAAAATAAATAAACAGTTAGCAGGTTTGATTTTAAATGACCTTTAAGGTTCTTTTATTGTGAGAAGGTGGAAAAGGTTTGTATTTACAATAAACAAATAAATGAGAGAACAAAAAGCTTCAGGGCTGAGCAAGGCCAAAATAATAAACAAAACATTTACTAACTCCACCCCGAAGATAACTTACCTACTGAATCAAAAATAAATTGAGAAAATAATTTACAAACACTACCCTTACTCCTTAACTAAACGAAAAACAGGAGAAAATCAGTGTCAAAGTAAATGGCACTCAGCCCCTACGGCGCTCAGCTCACAGCTTTATCAAACAGGGTATTTGACTCTTGTGGATGGGGGTGACTTTTTGTTTGCGCTCATTTATTTGTTTATTGTAAATACAAACCTTTTCCACCTTCTCACAATAAAAGAACTTTATAAATCTCCACTAGCTGAGTGATATCCGATTTAAAGTGGGTCTCAGATTGTACAAGAAGCACTGCATTAAATTACATTTCCCCCGCCATATCTTTGTAATATGAGCATTTATTTTACCCCAGTATATTCAATGGAGCTTCTGCGTTGATTCTGACGGGCGCGTGCGAGTAAATGGCTTTTTGTCTCGTTTTACGCTTGAGCAACTAAACAAATGCTACAGTTCATTTAACTGAATGCATTTTAATGACATTAGAACATCGATGCTGTATAAGGAACCGTATAAAATGGGAAAAAGTTCACAATAACAGGTCACCGGAAGTGTATCAGCATGGGAACAGCACTAGCTCGGCATATACCCTATTGAACGTACATCAATGTAATAGATGTAGCTCACACTTTATTTGAATGTACAATTCAGTCTATCAACAAACCATTAGCCAGGACTTTTAGCTCAATAAACTACTAATTAGCTGCTAATTAACAGTAAGGTACAGTAGTTTGGTTTAGGTATTGGGATTAGGGTTGTAGAATAAGACCTTATTTTATAAGTGCTACTAAACAGGTGATATCTTAATAATAGGCAGGTAATAAGCTAGTAGTATGGTGTGAAATGTTACTCAAAGAGGACCTATTATACAAAAAATAACACAGCACAAATATAGTGGGCTGACTTTGTTTTCATAGAACACTTCTTTAACGTGATTTAAAGGTGACCTATTATACAAAAAAACTATTAAGTAAGGTATTTAAACACAGTTGTGTTGCAACCGTCTGTGAATATAGCCAGCCTCTAATATTAAGAATGAATTAATTATATATTTTATAATCACTTTCGATAAAAACAGTGTGCAGAAACACTTTGATTGACATTCTCACATTGTACGTGTCATCAGAGGGGGAAAGCCCTGCCCATTAGTGGTGTTAATGATGTTAGTGACATTAGTTTTAGCACCGTACCTGATGAAGATCATTTAGAAAAACAAGGCTGAGATCTTGTTTGAATTTAAAGCGACAGTCACCAAAACTGCACAATTTGGCTCAAAGCACAAAAGGGGCAGTTTCAAAGAGTTATAAAAAGTTATTTGTGTTGTATTCTTGAGCTGAAACTTCACATACACCCTCTAGGGACTCTTGTTAAAAGGTGCATAATAAGGTCCCCTTTAATGGAAGTGACCAGACACTAGCGCCCTCTATAGGACACTGTAAGAGTTTGTTTTGTGGAGTTTTAAGTACATTAATGTAACATATCACTTTATTTAAATGTACAATTCACGCTATGAAATTACATTAACCAAGACTTTTAGCCCAGTAAACTACTAGCACATTACCTATATAACACAGCACAAATAAAGTGGGCTGACTTTGCTGTCATAAGACACTTATTTCATGTCATTTAAAGGAAACCTTTTATACAAAAAACACTTTATTAAGGAGTTTAAACACAGTTGTGTTGCAACAGTCTGTGCCTATAGTCAGCCTTTAATAGTGAAAATTAATCAATTTAACTTTTATTATAATCACACTTTATAAAAACAGTCTGTTGAAACACTTTTTGTTTGACATTCTAATGAGATAGAGGGATCTATCTCATTAGTATGAACAGCCCTGAGTAAGAAGCAGCCATTTTAAATTAGCTGCTCTGCTAAGGCATTGGCTGTTTCTCAATTCCAAGAATGCAGAGAACGGACTTGGTTCTTGTGGAGACCGGTCTTGCCAAGTTACCTCAAAAGAATGAACTAGGGAGACCGCGAGAACAGAGAACGCGTGAGGAATGGGATGCTGCGCTCCTCCCCGGTTCTTCCTGATTGGTTACATGACTTTCACACATTTTTAATGGAAAATTATTTAAACAGTACAACATTCATACAACGACTTATTGTTTTCCTCCTTTTCAAAATATACACTATGCATAAAGACCTTACAAATATACGTTGCACAATACAAATAAAACAGATTACAAATTTCAGCAAATAAACACCCTTAATCAGTTTATGCCTTTATAAATATTTTCATGATAATGTTTACTTTCTTTGTTTAGGGAAACTCCCGAGATAAATAAGTTATATCTCTGAACTTTAATAATAAAGCTATAAAGCTTCCCAACACCTTTATTCAGCCGCAATGACTTCTGAGACTTCTCGAGCGAGTTTTGAGCTCATGTCTACATTGATCCGTCCTCGATATCAAGAACACATCCGGGAACTTTCACGCGCCCTCAGTTCTTGCAGTCTTGAGTTTGAAACTTTGGCAGTTGATGATGACGATAACATGAGAACACGAGGACGCAAGATCGATGAAGAATGCAAATTTAGAAACAGCCATAGGCATTTTTTTTTTATCTCCACCCTCTTTTTAAAACAGGGCTGGGAGCACAATCTTATTTAAAGAGACAGTCACTTAAAAGCCACAATTTGGATCAAAGACTAAAAAAGCAGTTTCAAAGAGTTATAAAACTATATATGTGTGTTTTTTTGTCCTGAAACTTCACATACACACTCCAGGGACATCAGAGACTTCTTTTACATCTTGTAAAAAGAGGCATAACAAGTCCCCTTTAAACTAAAGTGTTACCTACACTGTAAAAATGGCCGTGATTTCAACGGTAAAAAACTGTAAAAATGCTACAGTACAAATCCGTAACCTGGTTAATGGTATGTTTCCTTAATATATACGGCGAATAACCGTAAATTGACTTTCCCAGAATTCCCTGCATGGCACATAACTTTTTGTGCATTTTATTGGCATTATTATGGATCTTTTTAGTTGTTTCCGCATCAGTTATGTACATTAGAGATTTATGTTACATCCAATGTTGATAAACAATATTTATTTCATGACTTTAATTTTATGCGTGTTACCATACTGGTGTTTAGTAGCTGTGTGAATGACACTGAGCACCTTCTATATGCTGTTACTCTTTTCTGCTTATGGGAAAAGTTGATTGTGATGAGCATTGGCTCATTATGTGACTTCCTCATCACCACCTGCATGTGGGTGTGCTAACGTGTCTAACTGTTTAAGAAGTGTAAATGTTGATCATTCAAAATACAGACATTTTACCTCTCTAAAATAATAAAATACGATAATTTACCGTAAAAATGAAAAATTACTTTTATGGTTTGTACCGTGTTTTTAACGGTAAAGTACTGGCAACCACAGCTGCCGTTTTTTTACCGTAAATTTTACGGAATTATTTTTTACAGTGTAGATCAGTGTTTCTCAACCATGTTCCTGGAGGACGACCAACACTCCATGTTTTAGATGTCTTCTTTGTCTGTCACACCCATTACAGGTCTTTCAGCCTCTGCTTATGATGATCTGAATCAGGTGTGTTTGGTTACGGAGACATGGATACCGTGCAGAGCGGGTGGTCCTCAAGGTACGTGGTTGAGAAACACTGACCTAGATGTATATGCAATGTATATGCAAATGACTTTGCATTTGATGTGTACTCACTGTATGAGCATGGATGTGTCTGAATCTCTGTCTGGATCTCTGTCTTTTTCCTGCACAGCATGAATGATTTGTTGCTCCAGTTGATCCAGTGACAATGCAAATGCATCGACAAGCTGCACAAGGATAAAAGAAGCAAAATCTTAGTCATTTAAGCAAAGAGCAAAGTGTTGAATTGATATCTTAAGTGCCGATTATAAATCTACTTTGGCAACATGCTTTTTTGCTAATAAAGAATCTGAGAAAGAGAACAGCTGACAGAAAACTAGCCGAGAACTGTTAAAGGACAAATGGGAGAGGGGGGTTAATCTGAACATAAAATAATTAAGTTGTCTCTCTGTAGAATTGTGTTGTTTTAGCTCATTTTAAAGAAGTAGTTTGACTAAAGACAGTCAATCTAACTGGCATTTCATGCTGAATTGTAATTAAGAACTATCTATTAAACTATTAAACTGCAGGCAATTACATGCAAATAGAAATAGAATTATTAAAGACCAGAGTGCTTTCTGTAATTCCTCAAGTGAACAACATAAAATATAAGATAAACTACATGAGATAAACTTGGCGTGTGAGATAGAGCATGAGGACAGAACAGAGAAAGCAACCGTTCAAAGCCCTGGGAGAAGAAGAGGTGAAGGACTAATTAAGGAGAGAGACAGAGCGAGAGAGAGACATGCTGTAAAAAGACACATCTATTATGAAATGCCTGAATAGCCCTGTCTGGGCAACAAGCCCTAATGCAGTCACACACACACACACACAAACTTTCTTTCTGTCCATTGACTTTTACAAGGAGCAGCAGCAGACAGGCAGTGAATGTACGCAATGGAAGAGAAAATGTACTGTAGGAGAACAGAGATATTTATACTGATCCAAAACTGAAGTAGCAGCACCTGTATGTCTTGTCCTTATTAAATTATTACAGAAAGATTTGAAGCCCCAAAAGCAAAAAAAAGCACACTAGCAGCACAGATTTATTAGCTCGGAAACATTCATTTTACAGTAAAGTGTTTTAGTGCATCAACACACTACAGTAATAAAATAATCTTGTTACGGCCTGTACTATTCATAAGTGTGTAGTAATCTAGTGATCTAGGCCAGCATCACTATTACCATTATATATAGGAATTTTGTTTTTAGGACTTGTTTTTTATATGAATGCTAACATGTTTCTTGTGTTTTATTAAAAAAAAAAAAAAAAAAGTAAGTTCTATTAAGTTACAATATTAGAATTTTCTACACGTTAGTATTATAAATACTCTTTTGCCATTTGTCCATTTATTTACTTACTTAAAAGAAAAAAAAGAAAAATAATAATATATATTCAATTCAATTCAGCTTTATTTGTATAGTGCTTTTAGTGTCGATTGTGTCAAAGTAGCTTTTTTATAAGTGTGTGTGTATATATACATACATATATATATATATATATATATATATATATATATATATATATATATATATATATATATATATATATATATATATATATATATATATATATTTATATTTATATACTTATAAATATATCAACTCCTACACTTCACATAAAGTCATGTTCAAGTCTTAAAAATGTTGGATAATTTTGTATAATTTATTATTAATCATTATATAATAACAGCTTTAAAAATAATAAATTATTTTAATGCACATTTTTCTTTACTTGTTTGTTCCTTTATTGTGATAAAATGATCTTTAAATTTTATTTAAACCCTTTTTGTGCTTTAATTCTAACGTTATGTCTTAATTTATACTATATATAATAATATTTACTATTCATTCATTCATTCTTTTTTTTCGCCTTAGATCCTCCCTCAATCCGGGGCCGCCTAAGCGGAATGAACCGCCAACTTATCCAGCATATGTTTTACGCAGCGGATGCCCTTCCACTGCAACCTATCACTGGGAAACATCCATACATACTCATTCACACATATATACACTACGGACAATTTAGCCTACCCAATTCACCTGTACCACATGTCTTTGGACTTGTGGGGAAAATCGGAGCACTCACGTGAACACAGGGAGAACATGCAAACAGAAATGCCAACTGACCTAGCAGAGGCTCGAACCAGCGACAATCTTGCTGTAAGGCGAACGTTCTACTCACTGCCTCAACATGCAGCCCAATATTTACTTTGCAAATTCGCAAAGAATTTTAGAGACATAGTGCTAAATATGATTGGTTGCATAAAACGGAGCGCAATAATATTTCCAAAATATAACCCCTGGCAGCACTCATACATCAATTTGATGTGTTCTTTTATCTTTTATTTGTTTAATCTGTTATTTCTCATCTGCAATGCATCTATGAGACGTTTCCATCTATATGTTTATTTTATTTCTAGAAAAAGTCTTTAAGATGTTTATTATTGATTTAATGCAGACCTTCTGATGATGTTTAAACAATCTTTGTACACAGCAGACGCTTTCCAAACAAACTGCTCTTTAAAACATCTTGCATGGACAGAAACTTTTTTTTAGAATAGTCAACTCACCTGAAGAAAGCTACCACTCCTGTCCATCCTACTGGGTTGTGCAGACAAATCCATCATTGCCAGATTTTATTTTCAGGTCCTGTGGGTCAACGTGAAGTCATTAAAATCGCTACATAAAAAACATTATAAAATATATATCAATTTTTTTTCTTAATGACGATGCACACATTCATACTGTGTTTACTACACATTAGTCTCCCATTGCTTTCAGACTGTGTTAAACTCTGTGGGTTATTATTATTATCACAGATGAAAGAATTTGTCTGTGAGCCTGGGTTTAGAGTTTAGAAGCTGCAATTATTTCCACAAAGAGAAAATTACACACTGACAGCTCTGTCTGCTTAACATGTCCGGACTATATTAATCATATTTTGTAAAGCAATGTTTGCTTAATTAGCATGTGGAATTGAGTAAGAGCTTTCAAGTATGCAAACATAAAGTTACACACAAATACACACACAGGACAATCTTAAACAGAAAATTTGCAGAAGTCATTCAAGGGAACCTACAGTGTTGCAATCAAGGCATACGAAATAGAAACACAGTGTCTAGATCTAAAAGGACAGCATCTTGATATAAATGAGATTACAATCACATCAGTTCACCTGCAAATAATCTTTATTAACAGATGCTTACAGTAATGAAAGCAGTTTAGTCATACCTCTTGCTATCTTTATTGCAGCATCAATGGAGCTTTCTTCTGATTTTCACACTATCGATACTGTCTTTGGGGACATCCATAGTCTGAAGTGAAACTAGCGTCTGTGTGAGTGTTACACAGCTGCAAACAGACAAAGACACACGTGACTCATACATATAAACTGAAAGAGCTTAAACAAGTGAATAAAACTGTGGATAAACAAGAGCACATTATCCAGATCAACTTTAGCATTTAACTGTCACTTTAGCATGCTAATGGAAAACAATCTAGGCACTTTAACCAAAATCCTTTACTATGTGGAAAACACAGCGATCAATATTAGAAAACGGCAAAGATTTTAGATTGAAGGGAGATTACAAGTAACATTTCTGAAGGTTACAGCTGTTAAAAATATGCAGGAACTGTAGAGGTTCTTGCTATGAATGAGGACTTTACTAGTCTCTCCAACACAATCTCACAGCAATTCGTAACTTTTTTCAATTAGTGGCTAATTCGTATGAATTAGTACGATCTAATTCGTACAATTTAGATTTGCTTATCCCCCAATGACGGTTGGGGTTAGGGGTGGGGTCAGGTGCCACGCCTCCTTTTTAAAATCGTATCATTTCGTACGACTGAAATCGTACGAATTAGCCACTAAACTGCCAAAACCTAAAATACTTACGTTTTGTCGTGAGATCAGGCTGGTCTCCCATAGGACTTTACTACTCTCTCACAGGACAACGCTAGGCTCATTCTTGATCACTTGATCATTTCTTAAAGTATCTTCCACATTTTTTGATTGTAGTGGGTTTCTTAACAAGCTTTCCAATATTTTTTTCCATTCAGGTTTATAACAGGGCTCTGGGTTGGCCATTCCATAATTTCACTGCTTTCAGCTTACATTAACTGGTTTGATTGTCTTGCTGTGTGACTGACTTCAATGAAAACTACTGGCTGATCTGGTGATAAATGCAGGGAGGAACCAATGAGAGGTTTCTAATTTCTCTTTGTTTTTCAGACATTTCATGATAGTTTAGAGAGCCACACACTTCAGCACTGAAGTTGTAAGCACCATATCATAAATCATCTCAGACTGGTTACTCGAACATGACAATGAGTTCACTGAACTCAAATGGTCTCCACAGTCACCAGGACTCAATCCAATTGAGCACCTTTAAAATGTGGTGGAACGGGAGATTCACATCATGGATGTGCAGTCAACAAACATTATGTCAATATGGACCAAAATCTCTGAGGAATATTTCCAGTACCTTGTTGAATCTATGCCACAAAGGATTAAAGTATTTCTAAAAAGCAAGGTCCGAACCAGTATAAGAAAGGTATACCTAATACAGTGGCCGGTGAGTGTAGATCGTTCACTAATCTCCACTGTTTAAATGTGTGAACACAGAAATGGTTCAAAAGAGATGAGATAGATACAGAAAAAGGAAGCATTACACAAATATCCCACGTCACATAACAATGCCATTCACACAAGAGGAATCTAAATCGAACAAGTTCCCATATCTATTGTGAGCACATAGTTCTTAATAACTCAAACCACAGAAGCAAAAAATAAACCATACAATACAGGGAATTATTTGTCAATAGGCAGTAAGGTCTAAGGCTAAAAGTCTGTTTTGTACACAGGAGGGTGAACGCTCTACAGCTTTCTACCCTTAGAGACACATACATCTTCCACTCTCTTCCTTTTACTGAAGTCCATGAAAATAATTTGGTGTGATGAATGTGTAAAAATCCTCCTGACAGATAGACCACAGTATTGCAGAAGAGTCTTCAGTATAAACCAAGTTTGTTAGCGCCATCATCCCACAAATAAACCATCATGAGCAATTATGACTAACTGTAACTTTGCTTTGCTGCTAAGTATTTACCAACAGCACTTTTGCTACATTAAAACAAACTGTGTTCAGATAATCCTTTATATTCTTTAGAAACAAATAAAATAAGATGACATTAAATATCTTTACATTATACTATTTAAACAACTCTAACTTATAGTAAAAGTTATTTACACATTATGTTAAAATAATTACACTAATTTGACGCAAATTTGCCCCTGACAGCTTTGTATTAGTTAAAAAATTTCTTCTATTATTTTCCTTAGTAAGACATGATAAAATATATAAATATGAAAAGCAATTCCCCGTCATAAGTAAGCTATATATAGCGTTGATAATGCAACAAATATACATATATCTAATCGTTTCATTCATCAAATCGACACAACAGTATTAAAGGAGAAATTAATTAACTTGTGTGAAAGACATTATAACGTTTAAAACAGAAAAACAAGCTAGCATACGGCGAACTGTTCTACTGTTAACTCATAATTACGCCAGACTATATAAGAAAATAATATTAAATGCGCCTACCCATGTGTGTTAGTTCCTTTCCATCAGACGACAACAGTAGCTCGGTTTGAATCCGTTAAAAGCAACACAGTCATGATCGTCCAGTGATTCTGTCGGTGTTTGTCGCGCGTCACATATGGTCACATCAAAAGTGTCGTCATATGAGGTGCCGTGTAGGATTTAAATCAAACTTTGCTTACAAACACATACATAAAACAAGTGTATAAATACAATCACATGGTAACGCTCCTTTGAGATGAACGCTCCTTTTAAACGAGCGACATCTAGCGGTCACATAATCTAATGACTTAATATTATGAACTTATTTTATAAATACATATAACTTGACATTAACTTTTTTTTCTTACCAACCCCACTTGTTTTTTTTCACAAGACAAAATTTTATTGTTGGAAACTGTGTTTTATATATATATATATATATATATATATATATATATATATATATATATATATATATATTTGACTTTTGCATGCTTGAGGAAAAGATTTGGCAAAGATTTGGGTCATTAAAAAAACTCCGACTACCAATATTATGATATAGGTTGCCTATATCTGCAGTATTCACCCTAAAACTTACTAGTAGGTTGACCTAAAACCAAAGACAACACCAATTCTTGTCTTAAGACATTTTAAGCAACTTTTTGAATAACAGTAAGTTCATGGCATGTTACATATATAGTAAATCTGCTGGTTTTAAACATACAGCATAATAATAAATACAGGTATGTAACAACCATAACATTACTCTTATGTTTTAGGACAAATTATCAACTTTTGATTACCTACACTAAATGTTGACTATTGAAGGTACATTTATAACAACTATTTATTTGTAGACTACTGTATTATCAAACCATGTTGCATACAAATGCATTCAACAGACTTAAAATGACAGTGTATTGCTGTAGAGGACAAATAAAACACGAGACAGGTGTTTAGGAAGAGTATAGTTTATTTTGTTTGACCTGCAAACTTATCTAAACAAGACAAACTCTCAGAAAACAGACCGGAAACATTATGATGCGCGCGCTCGTGGAGATAACCCGCGGTCGTCTTCAACTGTTGTCTTCAATAGTCCATCTTTGCTCAACAACTCATCTGAAAAACAAAGCAAAACATTACAACATTCAGACAAAGAGCAGAGAGCATAGAATCACCAAGAGGCGATACTCTAGTGCAATTTGGGAAACAATAACGCGCTTTTTGAATACATTGAATAAAAACAAAGCCGCTGTTTGCCATTGCGACAGCAATGATATCCAATGCACGAGCGATCGCTTTCACTTCAAAATGGCGGAATCTGTTGCTCTTGGTCATCCTAGGCTCTTTGCATAGTTAAATCATAACAGTTATCATGGTTTCTATTTCAAACTATAGTAAACTAAAGTTTGAAACTATAGTTTAAAATAGAAGATGAGTGGGCCTCGCTACTCCCACCCACCATAACCCTCGCAGCGAGGACCCACTACCGGCCCCCCGTGTTTCCCTGAGGGTCCTCGGGGGTTGTTTGTTCCCTGCCTAGGGCTCAAAGGCCGCCTCGCCCCAGGGAGTGCACGGAAAGACCGGGCGCCAGGCCGTGCCAGTATTCACTGGATGTTGCTCGGCGGCACATTTCGAGCAACAAACACGTAATATTCTTCGCGATATTGCGTTTATGTACGCAAACCGCAAGGAACTACAGCACAGACGGGCCCGGGTGAAGCATCACGAAGCGGACTTCGTGAGTTTGGCGTAGCTCCACTCGTACCGTCGGTATTGAACTCACCTTGGTCAAGTACAAACAGCTACACCGGGCGAACTGACAACGCTGACTCAGAGCACACGAGCTTTATAGAAATGCATATGCAAATGTTTACAAGGCACGTCACTGTTGTCTCGTTGCCATGGCGAGCGCTGAGGAGGGCTCACCTGATTGGAGCACAGAGACTGGGGAATTTGCGTCACGGCTAGTTGCCGTCTGCTGTTGACAAAAATATCTTAAATATAATAAATATATATTTTTACATTTTTGGTGCTGTGTAATATTCTGGGATGCAGTAGAATATGGAGACAGATTAATATAATTGGATATATGCCGAGCTTGTGTTGTTCCCATACTTATAAACTTCCGGTGACCGGTTATTGTGAGTTTTTTTCCATTTTATACGGTTCCTTTTACAGCATTGATGTTGTGATGCAATTAAAATACATTCAGTTAAATAAACTTTGGCATTCATTTAGTTTTTCAAGCGTAAAACGAGACAAATGACCCTTTACTCGCACTCGGCCGTCATAATCAGCAGACTAGCGCAGACGCTCCATTGAATACAATGAGGTAAAATAAATGTTCATATTATAAAGACATGGCGGGGGAAATGTAATTTAATGCAGTGCTTCTTGTACAATCTGAGACCCACTTTATATCGGATATCACTCAGCCAGTGGAGATCGCTGATTTTTAAAGAAAACAGACCTTAAACATGCTGATTTTTCCTTTGGCAGTTTGCTGGAAGCGCTTAACCCAGGTTACTGACAAATTAAAAGTCCTATTAGCATGCTTCAGCATATACCCTAAAATCCCAGAATGTCTTTCGAAAAAGAGTACGGGTTTAACCCCAGCACCCTGGCCAGACCTACCCACTGGCCTCTGTCCTTCATGGCCTCGCAACCCTCCCCATATCATAATTGGCTTTATCACTCTGTTCTCTCTCTGTGGTGTGCGGTCTGGTGGAAAACTATAAGGTGCCGTGTAGGATTTAAATCAAACTTTGCTTACAAACACATACATAAAACACGTGTATATACACCTATAAATTACTCGCATATACACCTATACTACTGCATGTTCGAAACAACATGAATGAAACTTGTGTATATACATATAAACTTGACGCATGAATACACCCACATACACACGCACATACATATAAACTTGATCCTCACATAAACACCCACATTAACACACGCACATACATATAAACTTGCTGCATGCAAACCCACCTATACACACTCGCATATACATATAAACTTGATCTATGCATATACACCCATAAACTCTCACATAAGATTATAAACTTGATGTGTGCATAAACACCCAAATGACACTTGTGCAAACATACAAAATAAAATTCTCAAACATATATACAGTTTGTTGTGTATATACATATATGCAAGTGATTTCATATGTGTATGCATGAATTTTCACAGTAAAAGGAAGTTATTTCATTTTTAAAGGAAGTTGTATAATTTCAATGTAAAAGTCCTTTGAGTGTAATAACATACACATAATAATAAGATTATTATTTGTAATGAATCAGCATATACATATATATATATATATATATATATATATATATATATATATATATATATATATATATTTTTTTTTTTTTTTTTAATATACATATATTGTAATATCACCAATCTGTTAAAATAATCTTAATATGCAACGCTAAAAACAATAATTTTCTTAATTTTATACATCTTGTATGGAATATTAATACCCACTGTACAGTCACATTCAAAAGATGAAATGTATAAATGTATACACTCATCGGCCATTTTATTGTGTACACCTGTCCAACTGCTCGATAACGCAGATTGCTAATCAGCCAATTACATGGCAGGTCAAGACGACCTGCTGCAGTTTTGCTGCAGGGGATTTAAGTGACTTTGAACATGACATGGTTGTTGGTGCCAGACAGGCTGGTGTGAGTATTTCAGAAACTGCTGATCTACTGGGATTTTCACGCGCAACCATCTCTAGGGTTTACAGAGAATGGTCCGAAATAGAGAAAATATCCAATAAGCGGTATTTCTGTCGGTGCAAATACAAAGCCAGAGATCAGAGGAGAATGGCCAGACTGGTTCTAGCAGATAGAAAGGCAACAGTAACTCAAATAAGCACTTGTTTCAACTGAGATATGCAGAAGAGCATCTCTGAATGCACAACAGATCCAACCTTGAGGCAGATGGGCTACAGCAGCAGAAGACCACACCGGGTGCCACTCCTGTCAGTAAAGAACAGGACACTGAGGCTACAATTGGCACAGACTCACCAAAATTGAACAATAGAAGATTGGAAAAATGTTGCCTGGTCTGATGAGTCTTGATTTCTGCTGCATTAAGATGGTACGGTCAGAATTTGGCATCAACAACATGAAAGCATGGATCCATCCTGCCTTGTATCAACGGTTCAGGCTGGTGGTGGTGTAATGGTGTGGGGGATATTTTCTTGGCACACTTTAAGCCTATTAGTACCAATTGAGCATTGTGTCAACACCACAGCCTACCTGAGTATTGTTGCAGACCATGTCCATCCCTTTATGACCACAGTGTACCATCTCCTGATGGCTACTTCTGAAAGCAAAAGGGTGTCCAAACCGGTACTACTAAGCTATACCTAATAAAGTGGCCGGTGAGTGTATATTATATCTAGTCATCCAAGAAGCAAAAATAACCAGCAGATTTTTTTTTCCAATTGTTTTTTTTTTCTTAATTTTTATTAAAACACATCACAGAGATGTATACATTTAATAAATAAGATGTCATTGTAAACATTCAGATGTGCCTGAGTCTTTTGTCCACGGGTGTTTGTGGAGCTGCCACTTGTTCTTGAGTTTATATACAATCCAAGCTTCAGAAGAAGATAAGAATGGGCATTAATATGGACATTTGAGGGGGACAGAAAGAAACCAGCAGTCCTCTAAAAGCTGAACCCATCCTGAAAACATGAAAGAAATACAATGAGGAGACTGTGCTATTAAGTGCCAGTAATTCAGTTCTATACAGAAAAAAAGTAACATAAATCATGAGTATATGCATACTTCTGAACAAGATTTGTTTTCGTCTCTAAATAAAGGCTAAGTTTGGACTATTAGTGAAAATCTAATAGATGTCTAACAATTAGGGCTGCGCAATATATTGTTTCAGCATCAATATTGCAATGTGTTTTACTATAATTGAGTAAATGTTTATCATTTGCATCTGTTTTTAAGGCATGTGACTGTGTAAGCAAGTGAAAAATGAGAATCTGCTGACTGAAACCAATATTTTCTGAAAACTCCAGCCAGGGTGAAGATTTTGTCATTGCTGGGTTTACACCAAATGCAGAAGACATTTGCGTATTCCGCATTGTTCGACCGATGGACATGGATCGTTTATGTCGACTTGTACCAGACTACTCGCAAAAATACTAAATTCTCCATTTGGTGTGAATCCAGCATAAAAGTGTCATGGTCTCCACCTGTTGGTTCGGCGTGCCTTAATTTGCATCCCAGTGCGTTTTTCCGTTATCATGTGGATGGAGATTTTTTAAACCAAAAGTGGGTATACCTTATAATTTTTGGAACAGAGAACTTTCTACATATTTTGGTTTACTTTGTTCGAAAATGTATCCTTGTAAAGTGGATTAATGAAGAACCCCCCAGTTTAAATCAATGGCTGCTTGCAGTCTGCAAAATAATCCCACTTGAGGCTTTCTCCACAGCTCTGAAGAACAAACCTTTCCTATTTTATCTGACCTGGGACCCTTTCTTTGATTATCTAGAAACCTCTAAGTCTCTAAGATTAAAGGCTTGTCTTTTAGACTCAGCCTGGACAAAAGAAATGTAATAACCTTTTTGCAATATAATTTTGTATTTTTTGTCATTATTATTTTAATTATTATTATTATTTATTTGTTGTTTATTCAATTATAATTTAATCTTATTTACTATTATTAATAAGTTTTTTATTTGATTTTTTCTCATGTGGGGGTCAGAATTCAAATGACATGTATGACAGATATTATCTTCTTATTCAATGTAATTTTCTGACATGTTTTTGCACTACAAATGTTCAATAAAATATATTTGAAAAAAAAAAAAGTGGGGAAGTCTGTTTATAAAAATACCTGTGTACGTGTGTGCTTTTTAGTGGGTTTTCACCTTTAATTGTACAGGACAGTGGAGGAATGTATTGGGGGCAGAAAGAGGGAAAGAGTCGGCAAAGGGCCTCAGGCCGGGAATCGAACTGTATGTCTCGAACTATCCGCTTGTTAAGTGTGAAATCATGCGAAGTGGCTTCCGGGTCCAATCGCCCGGTTAAGCTGTATGGGGAGACTCATCAAATGGAAATAATAAACGTTTATGAAACGATGTATTATTTTCTAAAATCACAATTGCAATATAGATCTCCATGCCTAATATCCGATGGCCAGAAAGTGATACATTTGTAAAAGATTTTTTTAAATTTTGGTATTTGTGATGCAGCAAGTCCAGAGACTGTTGTTTACACCATGATTTTTAGAAAATTCACTTTAAAGGGTGATATGACTAAAAAGTGGCCATATGAGATGAGCAGCGGCTTGGACCCAGAAACAGTATTCTATACATGACGACTCAACAAGCGGATATGGTGCAATATGTCAGCGCACTTAACCACTAGGCTATTAGTGCTGACAGACAGGTCACTTTTGACCCTGAAAGATGAACAGTGTATACAGAATTCTAGGACAACAGGATGGTTAAATACTGAAGATACAGTTGGGGAAATAAATATTATACACCCCCATTTTTCTTAGAAAACATATTTCTAAAAATGCTGTTGTCTTGAAATTTTCAGAGTGTTGGTAAGAGCCAAATAAATTTATATATGCAAAGAAAACAAAACAAAAATTAGTTTAAAAATGAAGTTATGTGTAATAAAATGAAATGACGCAGGGGAAAAGTATTGAACAAATGAAGAAAGGGAGGTGTAGAAAGGCAGTGACAGACCAGACAGCAGCTGAAATCTCTCAGTAGTTCTTCAGCACCCTCTGCCCTTCCTCAGTGTAAATCAACATCAGCTGCTTCAGTCCAACATCTTCATTAGCAAGATGATGAAGTAGAAACCAGGGTTGACATTTCAGCAGGACAATGATCCAAAACATCAAAAGAAACTCTCAAATGCTTTCAGAGAAAGAAAATCAAGCTGTGGAATGGCCCAGCCAATCACCTGACTTAAATCCAATAGAAAACACAAAATAGATGTCAGATTTGATTGATGAGATCCGAAGATCCTTCAAGACACTCTGTTGAAGTCAGTACTTTCTCCATGTGTCATTCTATTGTTATTAAACATATTTAATTATTCATATTGTTTTTGGTTTGCTTTATTTTTATGTTTTTATTGTTTGGGTTTTACCAAAACTTGGTTCAATTCCATGTCAACAGCTTCTTTAGAAATATTATTTCCGCGAAAAAAACATGACATGGACAATAATAATTTCCCCCACTGTATACTGAATACTTAACAAGAACAACAACAAAACAAAAAGTAATAGTCAAAGTGTGCATGGATGTGTTCACCGTGAGTTTGTCTATGGTTCTCGTTCAGAAGACACGTCTCCCTCGGCTCCGCTGCTGGCGCTGGGATCTACTTTTGACCGTTGCGCTGCCTTCTCTCTGCTTGAGTCGGACGGCCCTTTTGACCGTGTTTTCTCTTTCCTCTGCTGTTGCTTCTCTTGTTTGGACAGCTGAGAAATGAAGAAAGAACAACAGCCAAACTGTTCTATGTCCCAAAACAATTTATGCTGTATTAAGAACAATCAAGAAATTTCATAATGCTCTCGAAGATGATGGAAAGGCATCGATATAGTCAAATAAATGCTGGATACCAGTTTGGGGTCTGTAGGGGCAGGAGGAGACTCCAGCTGAATGGTCACAGGTCCGTCGTTTTGAATCAGCACCTGCATTTTTGCTCCAAACTGCCCGTCTGAAACACAAAGCTGCAAACTAAATATTGGGTTGTGGTGAAAATTCAATTTCAAAAATGCATCGCTATTTACTATTGCTCTAGTCTGCTTTCTAACAGAAGATGGCACAATACGCTAGTCTTTAACAGCAGAGGGCGCTCTAGGCTGGATTATAACAGAAGATGGCATGCTATGCTCTTGTTTAACAGCAGAGGATGCACTAGGCTGGATTCTAACAGAAGACGGTGCTCTAGGCTAGCGTTTAACAGCAGGTGGCACTCTAGGCTAGTTTTTAACAACACACGTTGCACTAGACTAGTTTTTAAGAGCAGACAACGCTCTAGGCTAGTTTTAACAGCAGATGGTCCTCTAGGCTAAGTTTTAACAGCAGATGCTGCTCTAGGCACGTTTTTAACAGCAGACGACGCTCTAGGCTAGTTTTTAACAGCAGATGGTGCTCTAGGCTAATTTTTAACAGCAGATGCTGCTCTAGGCACGTTTTTAACAGCAGACGACGCTCTAGGCATGTTTTTAACAGCAGACGACGCTCTAGGCTAGTTTTTAACAGCAGGTGGTGCTCTAGGCTTGTTTTAAGTGTAATGCTCTAGGCTAGTTTTTAACAACAGGCGGTGCTCCAGGCTAGTTTTTAACAGCAGACAGCGCTCTAGGCTATTTTTTAACAGCAGACAGCGCTCTAGGCTAGTTTTTAACAGCAGGCGGTGCTCTAGGCTAGTTTTTAACAGCAGACGGCGCTTTAGGCTAGTTTTTAACAGCAGATGGAGCTCTAGGCTAGTGTTTAACAGCAGACGGCACTCTAGGCTAGTGTTTAACAGCAGAGGGAGCTCTAGGCTAGTTTTTAACAGCAGACGGTACTCTAGACTAGTGTTTAACAGCAGACGGCACTCTAGGCTAGTGTTTAACAGCAGACGGAGCTCTAGGCTAGTTTTTAACAGCAGACGGTACTCTAGACTAGTGTTTTACAGCAGATGGAGCTCTAGACTAGTTTTTAACAGCAGACAGCGCTCTAGGCTAGTGTTTAACAGCAGATGAAGCTCTAGGCTAGTTTTTAACAACACACGGCGCTCTAGGTTAGTGTTTAACAGCAGATGGAGCTCTAGGCTAGTTTTTTACAGCAGACGGCGCTCAAGGGTAGTTTTAACAGCAGATGGCGCTCTAGGGTAGTTTTTAACAGCACACTGTGCTCTAGGCTAATTTTAACAGCAAATGATGCTCTACGCTAGCTTAAAACAACCGACGGCAGTCTAGGCTAGTTTTTAACATCAGACAGTGCTCTGGGCTAGCTTTTAACAGCAAATGGTGCTCTAGGCTACAGTTTAACCGCAGACATTGCTCTACGTTAGCGTTTAACAGCAGACAGCGCTCTAGGCTAGCGTTTAACAACAGTAGGCAATCAAAGTTAGATTTTAACAGCAGACAGTATATAAGGCTAGCTTTAAACAGCAGATGGCGCTCAAGGAGAGAAAAAAAGAGAGAATCACAGCTGACCTTTAATGAGTTCTGGTTTGTAGGTTTCTCTAAGCTGCTCCAGCATGTTGTTGTAGAAGGGTTGTGCCAGTTCAGCAGGCATGGCAGCGTGATAGTCAGGTTTGTTTCCCTTGAGGAGACACTGCAGAGTGAACTGACTCACACACAGCACCTCCAGCTCCCCGTCCATCACACTGCGGCTCCAGGCACGGCCGTTCTCATCCTCAAAAACACGCAAGTTCAGAATCTTGCGAACCCTGAGGAAAAACATCACACTGATCAGACGAACAGAACAACTTCTGATGAGAGAGAAGCATGATCATTCTGTACAACATCTCTTGCGTTTTATGCAGGGATGAAAAACCTGTTAAATAAATGTGCACATTTTTGCATTTACTATAACTATGTCATAATCATTAATTGATTATTATTATTAATAGTAGTAGACAACCTTATTATTTAACCATTTTACCTAATTACTAGCCCTAAACTGCTCCTGCCCCAAACTTCTTTTGTAATGTGTTGCAGGTCTGAATGACAGGAAAGGGTGTATATTTACAATTAAAGTTAACCAGACGAATCATATATTTTTTTAATTATTAATTAATATTAATAGTATTATTGTTGCTATTATTTTTTTATTATTATTAATTTTGTTTTATTACCATACTTATTTTTAATTTTATTTCAATATGATTTTTATTCACATTATTTTAATTATATTTAATGTTCACATTGTCTGCAATTAAATGCTTACATGTAGTCCACATCCTTCTGAGTGTCCTCCACTGAGATGCCGAGTAAAACACAGAGTCCTCTGCCGATGGAGCTGATCTGCTCCTCTCCAACTGTTTCAGAAAGTACAGGGCTGACGTCATCGTGTACAGTAAACCGATATGCGTGCTTAAAATCATATTTTAGGCTCACAGGCACATCTGAACTCGACTAACTTCAATGTTGTTAAAATGTACATTTTATATGAGATGTTGTTGAGCTGGATGAGCGTGTTAAAGTGTGCATGACAGCAGTGTAGTGTGTATGAGCAAGCCTGTACACCTCTTTCATCATAATTTCCATGAATGAACAGTAAATATTAGAAGAAGCGTTCGACTGACAACAGTATTGACTGTGTAATTTGCAATTTTGTGTCGTACCTGTTACGCTCGCTCTTGTTACTCTTTGAATGATCGCCTTCATTGTTTTGGTCTCCAATCAATCACGTGTAACACTCGAACACCTCAATCTTCCGGTTTCTGTGAAGCCCCGCCTCTTTGAACGTGCGTGCGCAATGACGCGTGTGCCTCTTGTGGAGTGGACAAGCGCAAAGAAGGAGTGAATAATGTTTATACGGTCTGGTAAAAGCATTTTTTTCAGGATTTTACCACTTTAAACATATTTCTGATTTTTTTTCAACTATTAAAGCACAACAAGCAACTTTAAATGCACGAGGCTTCAGTGTTGCCAACTTAGCAATTTTGTTGCTAGATTTAGCAACTTTTCAAACTACCCTAGCAACTGTTAAAATAAGCACCTAGCAACAAATTTAGCAATTTTTTAACATTCATTTGGCTACTTTTAGCAGTTTTTAAAAAGTGACTCAGAGCAGTGGCTACGGGCTTCACTCAATACATAGATATATACATTAAATGTCGTCTACCCTGATGTTGTCTATTAGAAGGAATGCGTCAATAGAGCCGCCATTTTAGTACAGGGTAGCGCTCCTTTGCAATGAATGCAGGACCAAGCTGAAGTGGAGGATTGTGGCCATCCAGAGCCAGAGAAATACACATATACACATATATCTATGATCGGGAGTTTTCCCGGAGGTCAGTATGCAATTATTTATTTTTAATTACAAAACTTATCATTTTACATCACTTTTCTACATTGATGGATAAGTGATCGCACAGGCATTCCTGACAAAAAGCGTGTGTTTGTGTGTATGGAAATGTACTATCCACCCTCCCTGTTAAATTTGATCTAATCATGTCCTGAAACACACCCCCTCTCCTGCTTTCACTTTTCATTCCAACAAAGGGAGCGATTTGTTTGTGAATGAATCTCTGTCGAACGACTCCTTCACTAGCCGACAATACAAGTTACTTGCACCACAGGATCTTGTCATATTTCTTTTGCATTGTTTGCTGATTTTATTCAACAAATCTAGCATAAGTCCAGTGTTTAGTGTGAGTTGGTGCTACTTTGCCTCATGGTGAATGCAGTAAGTGACGGTATTATCATCAATAAAATTACCTGTTTAGCACAAAAGTTCAGAACATACAAAAACGTAAAAAACTAAATCTTACGTATGAAATGTTTTGCATTTATGCTTTGTTTTCTTTGTTTGCTCGTTACTACACCTGTAGACAGCGCTAAAATTCAGCATCTTCACGTAGTAACACTGTCTTGACTATGACACTTGTCCTGGGAGCACTGTACAAATATGGTGGCACTATTGACGCATGCTCAGGGTCCTTATGCGATATCAAGTGTATATATCTATAAGGGGGGGGGGGGGGGATGGGGGGAGCTGTCGCAGACGCCACCCTCTCTATTCTGCCGCCCTAGACCCTAATATAACTGAGGTCGCAGGTGGTTAGGGTAGTGTCGCGGACGCTGCCCTTGACGCGGATATAACTGAGGGCGCGGGTAGTGAAGGTAGTGTCGTGGACACTGCCCTCTCTATTCTGCCGCCCTAGACGCGGATATAACTAAGGGCGCCGGTCGTGAGGGTAGTGTCGGGGACGCCATCCTCTCTATTCTGCCGCCCTAAGCAATAGTATCTGGATGCAGCCTTTATGATGCAAGCTGAGACTGCATCACTCAGCGATGCAATGTCAGACACAATGCATTCAAATGGAGCTAGTGACGTCACTGTGACGGGTAGGGTTAGGTGAGCCTATTAAAAAGTATTGGATGCAGCCCAGATTGCACTGCACCAGGTCTGCAGTCAGACCCCTCTTGCCCTAGGCGGCCGCCTAGGTCACCTCTATGGACCCGCCGGCCCTGTCCGCGACACATCAATTCACTCCCCCCTCAGACACAATCCCCTACCCCCCCACTCCATTCTGCAAAACCCCTATGTTATCTCTCTCTCTCCTCTGGCACCATGCCGGATCTGTAACCTCATTCTGTTCCAGGACCTCGCAATTTACAAATTAAGCACTGAGCACATGGTACACTTTACACTAAAAGTTCTTTTCAGAACCTTCAGGACAAAAAGTGCTCACAGAAATCCATCAAAACTACTTTGTTTTACCCCAGTGTCAATTATTTAACTATAAAATGCTGCAATATTTCTTAATAGGTTTTCGTTCTGTTGGAAAGGCTTCAAAAAGTTACATTTTAAACTTGTTTTACTGGATGTGCTATTTTCAAGTTTATAATTGACCTGTTTTCTTCCGTTTCTTTTTTTTGGGGACTGAAAAAAACCTAATAATCAACTGTACCTATTTCTAAAAAAACACCTAACTGGCACTCAAACCTAAATAGTGTAATTCACTAATAAACCCACAACTTAAAGGCTTAAATAAGGCAACTTGATATTTAATTTGCCAGTTATCTTAACAGACGCTTTACTCAAAAGATGACCATCAAGATGCAATTTTGTTGCCCGAGAGCTTCATTTCTCTTAGTTGAAACCAAGGATGAGATTATTGTCCCAAAACATTAATTTATCCAAACATTTTGTCTGGAAAAAAGTCTATTTGAGTTCTTCATCATCTGTTTTATTCTCTGGAGGGCTGTCATTTCTAGACCTGAAGGGGTTAAGAAGCCTGGTGTGATATTCCACAGTGCCAGCACGTTGGATGACGGTGGTCTCCGTGAAAGCTGTTGTACGTTTCTCTACAATTGTGGTGTCCTCGTCACTGTTTTTGGTGGAGGTGGTTTCTTCTAAAAAAAGAGAGAAAAACAACAAAATACTGTTACATCACATGCCTACAGTTTCCAATAACAGCATTATTATTGCTTTAGTCTAATAACAGAGCAGATTGTGGAACAACAACATTATTTATACACACGTAAACTTTATTTATTTAACAACATACTTCAGATTGCACATAATACAGTTATATATACACTGTAAAAATTTATGGAAAAAAAGCCATGACTACAATAGTTTATTTTCTTTAATGTTACTTATTTTAATAGGTTAAGCAGGTTTCAGCTACATTTGATAAGTTATGCAAAGTTCAACAGAGTATTTTTAGTCAGTTTGATTGATATAAGTTGAGATGACAAGAAAGGTTAATTCAACAAAAAAAAAAAAAAACAATTGCCACCAAGATTTTTTTCTACAGTGCACAATATTGTATATTTAGTAATATACACTCACCGGCACTTTATTAGGTACACCTGTTTAATTGCTCATTAACAGCAGTTCTGTGGACGCAAATGCCTTGTTGATGCCCGAGGTCAGCGGAAAATGGCCAGGCTGGTTCCAGCTGATAGAAAGGCAACAGTAACTCAAATAAGCACTCATTACAACCGAGGTCTGCAGAAGAACATCTCTGAACGCACAACACGTCCAACCTTGAGGCAGATGGGCTACAGCAGCAGAAGACCACACCGGGTGCCACTTCTGCGGCTAAGAGCAGGAAACTGAGGCTACAATTCACACAGGCTCACCAAAATTGCACAATAGAAGATTTAGAGAAACGTTGCCTAGTCAGATGAGTCTCAATTTTTGCTGCGATACTTGGATGGTAGCGTCAGAATTTGGCCTCAACAACATGAAAGCATGGATGCATCCTGCCGTGTATCAATGGTTCAGGCTGCTGCTGGTGGTTTAATGGTGTGGGGGATATTTTCTTGGCACACTTTGGGCCCATTAGTACCAACTGAGCATCATGTCAACGCCACAGCCTACCTGAGTATTATTGCTGACCATGTCCATCCCTTTATGATCACAGTAGACCCATCTTCTGATGGCTACTTTCAGCAGGATAACTTGAACATGAGTACACTGTACTCAAATGGCCTCAACAGTTACCAGATCTCAACCCAATAGAGCACCTTTGGGATGTGGTGGAACGGGAGATTCACATCATGGATGTGCAGCCAGCACAGCTGAGGAATATTTCTAGTACCTTGTTGAATACATGCCACAAACGATTAAGGCAATTCTGAAGGCATAAGGAAGTCCAACCTGGTACCCTAAGGTGTACCTAATAAAGTGGCCGACGACTGTAGATGTACATTTGTCAGTTTGTATGTTTTTACTCTCTATTTTACTTCTTATTTTAAAAATTCCTTTATTATTTGTGTTTTCCTCTTGTCACTGTCATTCTGTTGGTCTAAAAGAGATACAGCTGCAGATGCTCACATCAATATAGCATCATTTTACTGACTGCCAAACAATAATGAATATTTTTACACCACTGTGAAGTTTAGCTGTAATAAAACAATATTTAGTGGGTAATTTAATAAATAATATGACACTTGGTATAATGACAGTTTTAGGTTACTGTGATGGTTGGGTGTAGTGCAACAATAGTCAATAAAATACAATTAATGGGTAGTTTCGTATATTCAAAAAGCAAGAAGGTCGCTGTTTCGAGCCTCAGCTGGGTCAATTGGCATTTCTGTGTGGAGTTTGCATGTTCTCTCTGCGTTTGCGCAAGTTTCCTCCTGGTACTCCGGTTTCCCCCACAAGAATGTGTGTAAGGACGTTTCACAGTGATGGGTTACGACTGGAATGCCATCCGCTGTGTAAAACAATTGCTGGACAAGTTGGCGGTTCGTTTAGCGATGTCGACCCCTGATTAATAAAAGGATCAAACCTAAAAGAAAATGAATGAATGAATGAATGAATAAACGTCCGGCCGCAGCTGTATCCCTTCTAGAAACGTCTGTCACGAAAACAAACTCCTAACACGCGTTATAAAGATCTTTATGGTCATTAAATTGCAGTGATACATTGTAAAACTATACCTAAACATAATTATCTTCCCCTGGAGATTAATTTAACATTTTCACAAGTCACATATGATGTATGCTGCCCCACGGTTATACTTCACCTGGAAGAGAAGGCTTTTTTTTGTATGAGTAAAAGCAATAACCAAGCAAGGTCCAAGTACCCATAGCATAAAGCATTGACGCGCGCCGGTGCCATTTTACATGATCCATTATCGTCAATCTGTAATGTAATCTTAAATTTTAATTTCAGGCTACATTGACAAAAATAAACATAAATATAGCTATATTCTCAAGGACGCCGCCATGTTAAAACATGCCTCTATGTCGTCACTTCCTTGTTAGGGTATGACCAGTCAGAACGGGAGTGATGGAAGGATACATTCTTATTACTATTGTATTAACTGCTGGTGACGTTTTTTAATTAATTACCTAGATTAATTACAACAAAATTATATTTAAAAGTGTAATCATTCAGATAAAATGATTGTTAAAACACATAAGGGGCGTCACGGTGGCGCAGTGGGTGGCACGATCGCCTCACAGCAAGAAGGTTGCTGATTCGAGCCCCGGCTGAATCAGTTACATTACAGCGTGGAGTTTGCATGTTCTTGTGTTCGCGTGGGTTTTCTCCGGGTGCTCGGTTTCCCCCAGTCCAAATACATGCAGTATGGTTGAATGAAATAAGCTACATCAGCCGTAATCTATGTGTGAAAGAGTGTTTATGGGTTGCGGCTGGAAGGGCATCCGCTGCGTAAAACATATGCTGTATGAGTTGGCGGTTCATTCCGCTGTGGCAACCCAAGATTAATAAAGGCACTAAGCCGAAAAAATAAAATGAATGAATTTGTTAAAACACTGGCTGAAGCGGAATATAAAAGAAAGCTCACGTGGTGCCTGTTACTTTTCTCCGCGCTGTTCAAGAGCAACTAATCAGATGTTTTTGATTATTTGACGGTTTGTTTGCACATAATTAATTCATAACGTTTTATATACATTCTAGAGAAAATAACTCACTGTTATAATTATACTTTAAAAAGTGTACAGTTTAGACACTAAAATGACTGATTTTTTTTAGTTTCGACGAACTATTGCTATAAATGTCCACTAAAGGGCGCAAGACGCAATTATATTCATGTATGAGCAGCAAAGAAAACGTTTGCTTTTATATTTGTGCTATTTGAATTCCTTAAATCTTCAGAGATGTCGCCTATTACATTTTATAGTGGACTTTCTCGTAACAAACGTGATTAAAACGTAATTTTGATATCTAACGACGATTGGAACGACGCTTTACATGTGTAGAAATCATCACTAACAGGTTAGTGACTGGGATATAAAGGAATTGCTCAAAGATAACTCATTGAAGACACACAAAACTACTCACAAACATACCTTCAAATCCATGTTTTTATAATAAATTAGACAAATCATTAACTTAGTTGTGTCCTTAAGTTAAATGACAAAATATGAAAATAGCTTTACAATTTATCGATACAAAAATTACAATGCAGCTTCGCATTTTCATACCAAAACTACCCACACATACATCCTTCATATAAATACAGACGCCTCATGTTGATTCACACCTTCAGCTCCGTCCAGCGAAGATAGGCGTCCAGCATTTTTCAGCCTCCAGTTTGGCCAGAGGAGCCTGGTTTCGCCAATTGGTGAAGTTTTGTTCCTCACCACTTTCGCCACTGGCTTGCTTGGTTTGGGACTTGCACTTTAGTGTTTAGACTTTCAGCACTGATATTCAACTCTGAAAACTGGACTGACACATTTTCAATTTACTAGAACTTCTTTTTTTAAGGCATATTTGACACAATCTACATTGTAAAAGCACTATAGAAATAAAGATGAATTGAATCTGTAATATACATTTTATTTTAGATCAAAACGAAAGAAGTTTGCACGTTCAAGGTGCTTTTGAAATGAAATAAACCTACAAGAGATTCTATAAATATTATGCATAGCATTAGTTCATCACTGTAGATCAAGATAAAACTGGAATGTGGGTCACAAGTCACATTTAAATTCTTTACATACTACATTAATTTAATCACAATGCGGAAAGAGCAGGGGTATCATTCAAACACTGTTTCTCCCTGCACAAGAGCAGATCACAGGTACAGTTTAGAAGACTGTCAATCTGTGCCAGACAAAAAAAGGGACAAACAGACAAGAGGAAACTCGCAAAAAAACAAGCCTCATAGGAATTTCAGTCTAAACATGCTTAGGGAAGAGCAGCACGAGCAAAGTGGTGACAGAAGATATCATCTCTTTAGGGGAAATCAGACGTTATTAAACATGACATGTAACACTTTCTGTTAGACGAAACTAAATTAAATAAGCAAACAAACATGACAAAATAAATCATAATTACTTGAGTCGATGAGAATTAGAAAACAGCTAACAACCGTTTATCTGGAGGACCTCTTAAATAAACACCGAGATGCATTTTGTTGTGTTTTTTTTCCAGTAAATTTGGTCAATAGTTCATCCTTTTTCTGTCCTTTTCTTCACACACTAAATGTACATCATTCGTCAGCGAACGCTTATGCTGAACTCGAAACAGCCAGTTTCTTTAGATGGTCCATGAAGACTTGCAGACTGACATCATCTGTGAGGATTGGTGCTCCGGATTCCTACAAGAAAGATTCAGTAAAATTAGAGATCTGACATTGTTAGAAGACCACAGCAGACATCATCTGCAAATAAAAGCATCGTTTCCATAAAGAGGAAGAAGATAAATAAATAAATAAAAAGTTTGTTCAACCAGGGAAACCGCTGTAGCTTTATTACCCTAAATCACAGGTGTCAAAGCCAGTTCCTGGAGGACCGCAGCTCTGCAGTTTAGTTCCAAAACTGCTTCAACACACTTACCTGTAGGTTTCTAACAAGCCTGAAGGACTCATTTAGGTGTGTTTCATTAGGGATAAAGCTAAACTATGCAGAGCTGCGGCACTCCAGGAACTGGATTTGACACCAGTGCCCTAAATAAAAAGTAAATCAGGGTTTCTGCAGATTTCACCAGGCTAAAATTAAGAAGACATTTTTTTATATCTTTATGAAGGAAATTTTTGACTTATACAGGGCTAAATGCTAAGGATTGGGATTGTTGGTGATTGTATGGGTGTTAATGGTCAGATTGGTTATCTATACATGAACAAAGGAAATGTAAGACCTGTTAAAACAGATTTAAGACTTACAACTTAATATTTTTGTAGTTTTAAGACTTTTTAAGGCCTAAAATTTAGCTTTTTAGATTTAAGACCCCGCGGATACCCTAGTAAATGGATGAATTCTAATAGGGCTGAGAGTTGATTCTAAAAAGAATCAATTCCTCTATTTGGAATCATTGAGAATCGAGAGTCAATTCTAAAGTTCTGAATCAATTCCATTAAAGGGAATCAAATCTTCTTTTTAAAGAACTATTTGAGTCTGTTGCTGAAAATGATCAGAAGTCACTTGCTAATAACTATTGCGTACATTTGCCACATTTCCCATGCATACATTTTTGCAAACAGATTCAGATAGATCGCTTCAATGAACTGGTTCCAATGACGATATCCACAGATTATAGTACAATTTTTAACTGCTGTTTAATAGACAACGTCAATATGTAATGCTGATTATTACTTTTCATTTATTTAGGTTAACAGTGTTTAAATTAAATTAACTTTAATTTTATACCTAATCCACACATTGATATACAAATGGTCTTGTAGGTGCCTTATGGATTGCATTTTTAACATTAACTGACGGATTTGAGTTTCCCTCTGAATAGCCTACAGATAAAAGATAACGCTTTCGTCATATTTTCGTTTTTATTTTGTCCATGCAGAAATGGCACTTAAAACCAGCCGTGGTTCTGTGATCGACAGA